TCAGTATATGCCCAGGCCCGATGGAGCCCAGGTGCTCCACGGCTTACAGCAGAACCATGCTCCTCGGTCCCCTCACCCTGTGTGGGAGCAGGGGACAAGGTGCTGCTCGTGCTGGAACTCACAAGCCCCACGGCGGCTCAGGCCCTTGCCCACGCGAATGCCCCACAGGGACCAATCCCCATCACCCCCGTGTCAGGAAGAGACAAGACCTCCAAGCAGGTCTGGCATTAGGCTTCCCACGCGCTGGGGGGAGCGTGAAAGCCGGGACAAGAACGGGTAGCACATGGGCCACCACAGCTTCCGCCCCGAATCAGCACCACACCCACTCGGGGTCGCCTCTGTCCCCGCCAGGCCCAGCACCCTGTGCCCTCCGGCCCTTGAAGGAGCCAGGGGCTGGGCGCCCACACACGCAACGGAGGCTCAGCCTGACTTCTTGCCTGCTGGCGCGGACCTGCCCTGCCTCCTTGTCCCGCAGAGAAGGGCAGAGAAGACCATGGGCGCCAGGTACAGCAGCCCAGCAAGACCCCCTCCACGCCTCAGCAGGCCCAAGCTGCCAGGCACCCTGCACCCGAGAGCCCCCGCAGCACTCACCCACGTGGCCCCGCTCCTTGCTGTAGCCGAAGCCCTGGAGGGCGCTCTGGGGTCTGGACCGCGAGCCCATGCCTGTGGACGAGGCCCACGTCAGCCTCAAGTGTGGCCACCCACCCCCAGCCCTGCTCAGGGCAACATGCTAGCCAAGCACGTCAGGTAGGGAGGAGGGGCCCCGAGGCCTCCCCGGAGGGAAGACTCTTTGGCAGGGATGGACACAGTATCCTACCTGCTGGAGGCAGGGCCCTGGGCGGCTGGGAGGGAGGTGGAGGCGACAAGCTGTCAGAGAACAGGGCGCTCCCCAGGTCCTAGACGAGGAGAAGGGCGCTCAGTCCATGGGGTCTGGCTGCTGTCCCCCGTCCCCATGGTTCTCTGAGGACCAGCCCAGATCTGGTCCCACAGCAGGAACAGAGCCAGGGTCCCAGGTGGTGGGAGAAGGACTCAGGCCGTCCTGGGACTGACCTGAGTCCTGGACTCACCTGGGCAGCTGCGCGCACCTTCTGGTACAAGCTGTTCCCATGGAGAGGATCCGGGGGCCCCGAGAACACTGTGGGCAGAGCCAGAGTGACAGGGCTGAGCGGCTGGTCCCCAGGACACTGAGCTACAGCCCATCCCAGCCCGGGCCGCCCCCCATCGGCCCCTAGAGCTCTGAGCCCTGGCAGGTGACCCCGCACACCCAGGGTCCGATAAGATTCCCAAAGCTCAGGTCTGTCCTCAAGTTCCCCACGTGATGCGGCTTCCCGGTCCAAGTCCCTACAGTGACACGGCTTCCTGGTCCCTACGGCAGCCACCAGCCTGGGGAACCCGCCACTCCCCAGAATACTGCTGCTCCTTGGTCCAAGCCTGGGAGCTCCCAGAGCCCCTTCTCCAGGACCCACTGCCCCAGGCTTCTTCTCAGAGCCACATCACCTTCCTGGCCCATGGAGGCGGCAGGCCCAGGGCCCCTGGCCGCCCCCTCACACATGTGCACAGCAGCCAGGCCCGCGTGTCAACCTGCAGAAGGCAGCGGGGGCCCCTCTCCCCGACCCCACTGCTGTCTCTCTCAGCTGAGCCCCTACACTGGCGGCCTAACCACCTCTCTCGACCCACTGTCTACCCGGAGAGAACACCAGTGAGTCCCATCCAATTCCAGCCCTGCAGGTCCCCACGGGCTCAAGGGTCGAACCGTTCTTCATCACGGCCTCCAAGCTCTGCCTTTCCAGGAGCATCAGCCGCGGCAAACGAGATTTTCTTAGAAAAAATTTAACCGTCGCAAGCTCTCCCTGTCTCCTCTGTCACAAACACGTCCCACACCGGCCTGGTGCTGCCCTGTCTCCGTCCTGGCAGGCGGCCCAGCATGTGCACACATCAGCCCCTGGGCCCAGCCGGGACTGGTGGCCGGAAACTGAGCCACCAGTGAACAAGGGACAGCACCCGGCCCCTCCTGTGCAAGCCGAGGAGGTCCCCCGCGGGCTCCCCTGCCCCAGAGCCACCCGCTGGCTCAGCCCCACCTCCCCACGGCCAGTGGCACGGTCCCCCGGGGTCGGTGCTAAGAGCACAGTGGACCGAGACTGCTACGTGGTAGTCGCCTGTGGTGAGAGACACCGTGGTCTGCCCACCCCCACCGGCCCCACCGAGCCGCTCTACCCGTGCTCCGGGGGCGCAGGGCCCAGGTGATGACTCGCACGGGCCACGGTGCACACCGCTGGGACCCACCAGCTGGCGAGAGTCCCCGAGCATGCTGTTTCCGTGCGCTAGTTCTGGGGAGCTCACTGGGACAAGGACGAGCCCCGACAGACCCCTGGGGCAGTGTCCGGTTTTGTGCGGTGATGCTTTCCCAGGCACCAAGCGCCTACCTGCACCCAGCCCTGCCTTCAGTGAAGGGCCGACAGTGGTTTTGGGGCGGGGGGGGTACCCCAGCACCTGGCAGGTAGGACGTGCTGCCTAACTGCTGAGGGTCCCCTGTGAGCACCAGATGGCCCAGAGCAACTCAGTCCCCCTCCCTGGTGCTCCCTCTCGCGGACTGCTCGGTGGGCACGGTTCCTGCCTCGATTCATTCAGGCCATGTGCTGGGGTCTGTGTCCCCAAGACCACCCAGGGCTCCTGCCTTAATGGAGGAGAAGGTCTCAGGCCGCATCCCCCCAGGTCCTAGTTAAGGAGCAAGATAGGTGACAGCCCCCGGCCTGAGCGGGGGTGGGGGCGAGACGTGCATTTAGACCCCGACAGGCCAGAGCCCACCTCCCCGATGGCCTCCCACAGACCTCCTGAAGCAGAAGCTGACGGTGCTCCCCGTCCCGGGCCCTGGGGAGGAGACCGAGCCCGTGACTCCGGGAGGCGGCACTGATGCCGGCTGATCTCCTGTGGCGTGCCAGGCCCCAGAACAGGCAAAATAGCTCTGGGCCACCAAGGCGTGGCCGGGCACGTGGGCAGAAACTGGCCACTCTGCCCCGTGCTGCGGGCGCAGCTGTGACGGCCAGAAGGGGAAGGCGCGGGACAGAGAAGGTGGCAACTGGGGTGTGGGGTGCTGGCGAGAAGACTTGAGCTGTGTGGGGGGACCCTGGCTGCCCGTCCCCCTGCCCGCAGTACCTGCGGCTTCCTGGATGAAGGCCGGGTTGCGTTTGAGGATAAGCAGGGAGGACGCAGAGCCGTGGGCACACAGGTGCAGCAGGATCTTCAGCACCTGCAGGACAGTCACGGGGGCGGCACCGGAGGACAGTCACAGGGGCGGCACAGGCCCGGAGGGCAGCTGGCACACGTCCCGCTGCGTCCTCCTGCCCCGCCAGCCACTGGCTCTGACCCCGGGGAGGGTCTGCAGGGGCTGCGCTCACCTTGAGCTTCACGCGGCCGGAGCCGCTGTGCAGACGGTTCAGAAGGTACTCCAGGAGGCACTGGCTGCTGCCCAGGGACTCGTGGGAGATCTCTGGGAGGCGCTTGGGTTAGGGAAGGAGTGTGCTGAGCCCGGGCCATGCTAGGGCCTAGCTGGGGAGAGAACCCGGCCTTCCTGCCACCGGGCTTCCCAGGAACCCTCCCACCAACACCCACCCGGCCCTGGTTTCCAGAGCTCGGGGCTTGGGGACCTCCTGAACCCCGGGACGTCCTAATGTGGCTTTGGGCCCCACACACGTAGTCTCCAGGGTAGAGGAGCGGCGCCAGGGCCCCGCGTGTGGGCACAGGGAAGGATACTAGCGATCTCCTCGAACAAGTACCCAGGACACGGGACATCGTCGTCCGACGTTCCCTTCAGCAGGACCGGGAGCTGGAAGGGAGCGAGAGCCCCCTGAGCGCGCGGCGGGACAGAACCAAGGCTGGTCCCCATCTCGCCAGAGCGGTGCGCGGGCAGGACGGAAGCCTCCGGGACACACGGCCGAGCAGCGCCCGCACTGGGCTTACTGTGGACAGCGGACGGCTGCTGTCCGGCGCCCCGGAACAGGCGCGTGGAAGGCGCGGGAGGCTGCGGACGTGCCCTCCTCGCGCACCTGCCCGCCAAGGGGGAGCCGCAGAGGCCCGTGGAACCGTGACGCGCGGGGCCCAGAGCGGGAGCTGACGGCCCGGCCCCGCGGACAGCGCCGGGGAGCGCCGCGGGCCGCCACGAACCGGCCTCGGTCCCGGCACGAGGCGCAGGCCCCCGCGCGCACGACCATCACCCCGGTCTCTGCAGGGCAGGGCCGCTTGTCGAGGCCCGGAGGCCGTCCCCGCGAGCTGCCTCCGGGCCGGCGCGGGACGGGTCCCTGACCCGCACACAGCTGCGGGCCGCCCGGTGCTGCCCAGCCCGCTGCCCCTCAGTCCTCCCGGCGCGGACACGCCCGCGCGCGGGGCTTCCCCGGGCTAGGTCCAGCGGGGACGCTCCCCGGGGCTGCGTTTCTGCAAAACCAGAAAGCCAGAACCCGGAGGCTCCGGCCGCCTCTCCCGCTCGGTTCTGGCCCCGCGGCCGCAATGTCCCGCGTGGGTCGGACACTGCCCATGCCGCGGCCGTGGAGACGGGGAGGGCCGAGGGGAGCGGCGGGGTCGCCGAGCCCCGGAGGACGCCCCGACGGGGGCCGAGCGGGAGCAGGGCGGAGCCGCGGTCGCCCGCACTCACCCGCTGCAGGAAGCTCAGACGGTCCCGCAGCAGCGGTGCGGTCGCCATGTTGCCGGTCACCTTCCGGCCCCGCCCGCGGCCGCGGCCCCGGACCCCCTCCAATCAGCGCGCGCGCCTGGCCCAGATGGCCAATCGCTCTCGCGGGGCGGGTCCCCGCGCCGAGCCAACGGACAACTTGAGCCTGAGCCAATCTAAAGTCCCAATCCAAGACAGACAAATCCACGAGCTACTTGCAGAGGAGAGGGAGAACCGACACCGCCCCGGAAGGGGGCGTGGACTGAAGCCTGGCCAATGAAGAACCGCAGGGACGACTGCGGGCGGAAGGCGCGCCTATCGAGCCGCCGGACACCGGAAGAGGACGGGCCCAAGATGGCGGCGCCCAGAGGTGCCGGGAGGAGCCGTTCATGTCGGGGAACGGAGCGGTGTGGGGGCGCGTGCGAAGCCGCCTCCGCGCCTTCCCCGAGCGCCTAGCAGCCTGTGGGGCCGAGGTGAGGAGCTGCCGGGCGGCGCAGTGCCTACGGGACGGGAAGGGCCCGCGCGGGCAGGGCGGTGACCGGCGGGGCGCGGGGTCTGCTCCGGGAGACGGGCGGGCGCGGGGGCCTCCGCGATCCTCGCCTTTCCCCGCCCGCCCACAGGCCGCGGCCTACGGCAGGTGCGTGCAGGCGTCCACGGCCCCCGGCGGCCGCCTGACGAAGGATCTGTGTGCGCGGGAGTTCGAGGCCCTGCGGAGCTGCTTTGCCGCCGCGGTAGGTGGGCGCCGCCCCGGTCCTCTCCCTTCCCGGCCTCGCCGAGCGGGGGGCCCACAGGCCTGCCTTCCCTTGCCGTGCGTCCGGTGCCGGTGCCTGCGGCCGCCTCGGAGCTCGGGTGCCCGCGCCTGTCGGGGGAGGGGAACGGCAGCGGGGCGCGCGGGGCGAGCGCCTGGAGCTCGTGGGGTGCGGTGGCCCTGGTGTCCAGAGGAGCCCCGGGCACCTCCGCACCCGCGGTCTTCGCTTCGCGGGCGGTGAGCGCCTCACGGGTGTGCTGGACGCGCGGCTGCAGCCCTGAAGCCCGCCAGCGCCCACCGAGAACCTCGCTGCCCCGATGGCCCCAGGGGCACTCGCAGGTCACTCTGCTGGGCTCGTCAGCCCCCGCCGCCCTGGAGGGGGCCGTGTGGCACCAGTCGGCGCCTCCTTCGGTTGGGACTCTGGGCGCTCAGCAGCGCGTCCCTTCCGTTTCCCAGGCGTTTAGTGATCTGTGTGGGGTCAGGTGGGCAGCTGTGAGTCCGAAGGTCACCAGCCCCGGGCAAGGGAAGACCTAGCGTCCCCACGTCTTCCTGAAGGGTGCGGCAGGTCGGGTTGGAGGAGATGCAGACACACCCAGGGAGCCTGGGCTGGGGTAACAGAGGGCGTGAGGAGGGGGCTGCCTGCCCCGCGGGTCCTGGGCCGGTGCCCCGTGTGTTGGGTCGGGGTCGGGCTGTGATGCCAGCGGCTGTGATGTTCTCCGGAGCTGCTGGTACAGAGACCTGGACCACAGACGGGGCAGTTGGGTGAGCAGAAATTAGGGCTGCTGAGGCCATTTCCCGGCATTCCAGGGTCCCCCTGAGCAGACCGGCTTTCTGCGGCGTGGCCGCTCCTCCAGGGAGAGGACAGTGCTCGTGCTGCCTTCCCCGGGGACCTCCCTTGTGATCATAATGGCCGCATCGCTCTGGGCTCGTCCTGCCCCCATCCCTGGTCAGCCCTTGTCACCAGCCACAGGTCTGACGTGAGCCATTCACCCAGGGTCACAGCTGTCGTCTCGGTGGCTTCTCATGGTAGAGCCCTCCCCAGAGCACAGGGGTCGCTGCTCGGAAGAACTTGCGTGTGAGACGAGAACCAGCCGTGATAATTACAGGTTTCCGGGATGGCCTTCTGTGGCGGGCAGTTCCCCGTTCCAGGCGTCTGCACTCGCCTTTGCTCTGATCCCGCAGAGGTCCCCACACTCCGCGCCCCACGCTCAGGAGCTGTTCCACACGCCAGTGTCACAGAAGAGGACAGGCTCGGGGACTAAGTGCCTGAGTGTTTCTCGCAGACGCGCCCCGTCTGCCGGACTCCACGGCACTGGTGGGGAGCAGCGTGAGAGGCAGAAAGGGCGGCAGGCTCCCGTCCAGCGCGTCCCGGGAGCCCTGTCTCTGGGCGAGTGTTCAGCGCTTGGCCGCAGCCTTCTCTGTGAGCAGCTCTGCTGTCTCGGAGCACCCAGCCCGGGGTGTCGGGGCGGCGGCGTCTGCACAGGGCCTGGTCCAGGGGGCGTGGCTTTGGGGGCGCCAGTGTGGAGCAGGTGGAGCGTGGCCCGTGGCAGCTGGGAGCACCCACGCCCCCTGCTAGGCGTCCCTGTCCCCGGCGCTGGTGGCCAGGCTCTCGGGAAGGTAGTGGCTGCCAGACAACGTTTGGTGGGCGGTTTCCTTACTCCGCAGCCTCATCTCACTTACCCCGTTCACACCAAATCCTTTACCTTCCAGGCCAAGAGCCCGAGGGGAGGCCTTTAGGATGGACGAGCCAGCACGGCACTTCCGTCTGCTGCCCCAGGGAGCAGAGCCCGGCGGCGCCGACGGCCCCAAAGGGCAAATGGCGGAAACACCTGAAGCATTCAGAGCGGAGAGGACTGGGGCGGGGGGCGAGTTGGTGTTCCTGCGCCGCGTGCGTGAGGGTTCGGGTTAGCGTGAGACCCAGGGAAGCCACAATAAAGAGCAGGGCGGACCGCACCAGAGCCCTGTTCTGTCGTGCGCGGAGCACCCTGGGCCGTGGGGACACGCTGCTCGGGATGGTCACTTTTTGAAGAATTTTCATCTAAAACACCTTACCTGAGCCTGACGGAGGCAGCAGATGCAGCTGCCGCTTTACAGGCCGTGCCGGAGCCGAAGTCCAGCCGCCGCGAGGGAAAGAGCCACGGGGAGGGAAGGCCACTCAGGCGGTTTTTCTGGACTTGGAAGCAAAAAAGGAGGGGCTGCCCTTCTAGAGGCGCCAGGCAGCCGAGGGAGGGTCTGGCTTAGGAACCCAGCAGCAGTGACTGTGTGGGGCACCTGTCCTTCTGCAGCCCCCCCAGATCAGAGCCCAAGCCCTCCTGACAGTCCCTGTCCACCACCCCAGCCCTGCCACCTGAGCAGGAAATCAGCCACAGTCCAGGGATTCCACGGATCCAGAGCGCCGCCTGCTGGACACTTGGGGACTGTGCTCCAGGAGCCTGGAGGTCACCTTTCCCTTGGGGTCCATAGCCTCTGGCCTGCCAGAGTCCAGCATCCATGCACGGATGGGGGGCGGTCCACGCCCTGGCCCCACACACACCGAGGGCCAGAGCAGGAATGGGGTGGGCCTGGGAGCCCAGCGCTCCTCACCACGACCCTCCTCCCTCCTGTGGCCTTGAGGGTGGGCTTTTCCAGACCCTCACACTCTCCACTCTGACCTTCGGCAGCCTCTTGTGGGGAGCACATGGGTCTCTGCTGGGCACACTGGCTCCGAGCCACTTCTGGAACAGTCCTACCAGGTGTCCCCCTGCCCCCATGTCTCCCAGCTCTAGTCCAAACTCCTGTGTCCCTCCCCTTCGGGCCATACACCCAACTCCCTTCCATGTTCCTTGGCCTTCGTCCTTGTTTTCTGAGGGAAATGCCACAGAACTGGTGTCTGGATGCAGCCATTCCTGCAGCTGCAACTCTGTGTGCCTCGCTGCGCTGGGCTTCCATCCTCACTCCTACCTACCTCCAGTCGCTGGCCCTGCCCTAGAACAGGAGCGCTCAGGCAAGATCCTACCCCAGTCGCCCCGGGCAACTCCCCACCAGGAGGGTCACCCGCTGGCGGCTGTTTACGACGCTGGCGCGCTCCTTGCACCTGTCAGTCTTGGCACCAGTGGTCCGGGTCAGAAGGCAAACGACAGCTCCCGCCCTCCAGCTCCCCGTTTCTGGCAAGGTGACCTCACCCAGAGGTCCTGGGTCCTTCCCTGAGGGGCTGAAGGCTGGGGAGGCCGGGAGAGTGTATACTGGGACGAAGACCCCAAGTGTCCAGGGGAGCGGGGACTGGGTCCCCCACTCTGAGGAGGACGTGACTTTGCAGACTGCAGGAGGATGGCCTGACCTCCAGAAGACACGAAAGTCAGGTCAAGGTAAGAGATCCGGCTAAATGCGTCCAGAAACACAACCCACTCTAAAAAGCGGAGTTCTGATGTTGGGGAAACATGCAGAAGGCGTTTTCCCAGTGAGCAGTGTTTGTTTGGAATTGTTTTTACCTAAGCACAGGAAGCACCCCAAGACCCACCCCCCTCTCCGGGGCTTTCCGCTGCAGGAGCAGTGTCCGTCGGCTCCAGTCTCCCTAGCACCAGCTCCTGGGGTCAGGAGGAAGCCCCTTGGCCTTTTGTTCTAGCCGTCAGGCTGTCCGAGGACACGGGACTACAATAAACAACGTAATTTCAAAGGCACAGGGGAGGTCGAGGCCAGAAGCCATGGCTGGAGCTGCCAGGAACCTGTGGTCCATCACGTGCCGGGGCCCCTCTGGCCAGCAGCCTGCCAGCAGCCACACCTGGGGCCCCGGCAGCGGGGTCAGGAGCACTCACTGCCCTCGGAGCGCAGGGCAGAGCTGGTGAGAGCCCTGGGCTTGCGGGTGGACAGCCCACCATGGCCACACCTGCCCGCTGGCCTCGGCCAGGGGGCGACCATCAGCTCTCCTGTTCTTTGAAAACGGGACACCACACCCCCCACCCCCGCAGCTGCTCACAGGGTTTTTGGAGGCCGTGATGTGTCGGGCTTCCCCGCCCCCCAAGGTCTGGTCCACAGGCGGCCTCACGACCACCAGCACAGCGCCACACCAGCCTCACGGACCGGACACCACGACGTTTCTAATTTGTAAACAACTTTATGGTTTAGAAAAGCAGAAGGAGCGCGGAGAGCAGAGGGGCTGTGACGGGGGCCGAGGCAGGCACGCAGGCGGGCGGCTCTGACCCTCGAGACGCCCGTAGCCACGAAGCTGCGTCCGGCGAGGAGCTGTGCGGGGGCCGAGCTCGTCACGGTTCTCTGCAACCCTCGCAACATCTCGTTTGCGACGACTGTTTGGAGAAAGCGGGAGCCTGGCGTGCAGCGGGTTCTCACAGCGGCCCGTGTCCACACCAGGGCCGCCCGCGCTCCCCAGCCGGCCGCTGCGTCTTCTGGGTCCTGCCGAGCTCGGTCACTCGGACAAGCTGAAGATGCGGGATGGAGAAGGCACAGGCCGCCTGGACAGCGAGGCCGCGGTGACAGGCCGCTCAGACCCCCAGCCACAGCATGACTCTGACTCTGCACCCACATGGCCTCGGCATGGCTGGCTGAGACCCACCAACTGGGAGGACAGCAGCGGCTGGTAGCCGCTCAGGGTTCCTCTGGGGCCCCCACCAGCTGCTTTACCTGGCGGCCGTGGACTACCCACAAGGCACCCCCCGCGGCCTGGTGTAGCTGGGTCTCCAGCGCACGACGGAGGTCATTGACCTGCACGTCCGGGAGAGGGTTAAAGCTGATGATGACCCTGTCCCTTGGGGCCGGGTCCCCCCCTGCCCCAGGAGCCACATCCCGCCGTCTCCTCCTAAGGTCAGAACCGGCCTGGACTTTGAGGTCTCGGTTGGCTTTGGCACGGTCTAGCTTCTGAGCCCCAGGGATGGGCCCCGGATCAGGGTCCTGCCTCCGCTCCGGCTCCTGGACGGCAGTGTCCTCCCCCAGAGCAAGCGCACGGTCCCTGGCGATGGCCTCCTTTCTGGCCTCCAGGTGAGCACCCTGCTGCCCACCCTGAGTCCCAACAGAAACGGCCCGGTGTTCCAGCTGCCGAATCTCGGCCTGGGCCCCGGGGGCTGCTCCTCCTGACCTGCTGGACAGGCCTGCAGGTCCCCGGCCTCGGCTCACCGGCTGGGACCTCACATGAGGGTCGCCATTCTCCCTCGCCCCCGGCACATTCGCTTCCTGAGCACTGGCATTGGAGGCCACCTCTTTTCGAGATTTCTTCCTTTCGTGGGAGCTTCTGCCGAAAGTGTCCTGTTCGGGCAGCTCACCAGCAACGGGCTTCTCTGGGCTCTTGGGCCCCTCGGCAGGGTCCGGCATGGGTACCCGCTCCGGCATGCCAGCGCCAGCTGCCTGGGCCACAGCGCCCTGCTGGCCTTCCCTCGGCTCAGCCTGGGCCACCTGGGGCTCCATGTCGGCAACGCCAGGAGGACCCGCTGGAGCTCTGCCTACAGCCGCCTCGGGCTCCGCCTTGGGCTCCTCCAAGGCACCTTGGCCGTGGCCCTGGGGTGGAGCGGGGAGACGCCCGGGGGCTCCAAGTGCAGGATCCACAGGCTGCTGCGGGGGACGGTCCACGGTCTGCCCCTCCTGGGTCTCCTGCTCCTTCCCTTTGGGTGCCGGCACCCCAGGCTCTGGCTGTGCTTCGGCTGCAAATGAAATCAGTCACCAATTGAACCACGGGAGCGGACGGAAGCTACCAACACGCGGGCTGGAAGGGTGAACTGGCCGGCAATTAAACACGAGCCAGAACTTTGCCCAGCAGGACCCCAGGCCCCGGAGCCCCAGCCCCACGGAGTCACCAGGAGACACCACGGGCGGCCCCGCGCTCGGTGATGACCCCCGGCCCAATCTGGCCCTGACTTGCCGTCCTCGCCGTCCTGCCTCTGCTGGTGTATCTCCTTGTGCTGCTCCTCGATCACCGCGAGCAGCTTCTCCTGCTGGTCTAGGAGCCGCTTCTGCTGCACCTGCTGCTCCTTGATCACCTGCAGGAGGACCGCGTGGTCCAGCATCTCCGCCCGGCCGGCTTCTGCGGAGGGGAGAGCGCACACTCGGAGCCTGCCCCGTCCGCGCAGGCGCTGGGCTGGGTGAAGGGCAGAGGGACGCGGGGCGCCGGCGCCGGCTCGCCTGGGGGACCCTCCCCAGGATGCCCTTCGCTCACACCGGCCCACATGGGCCTGAGGTTTGGACATGCCCAGCAGGGGCCCAGCTGCTCAGATGGTCGCCCCTGGGACTAGACGCCGAGAGAAGCTACAGGGAGGTCTGTGCCACCGTGGGAATGCTGCCGTGTCCTGGGCTGGGGCGCGTTAAGCTACAAACTGCTCTAAAAACAGAATTCCAGAACTCTGAGGAAGTTTCCTCCGAGGTGAGAATTTAGGAAACAAACAAAACGGCCTTCCCCCGCCGCACAGACAAGAAACGGGCCCTCGGTGAGGCAGAGGCCGGCTGCCGACACCCACAAGGCCCAGGCCCCGCTCCCTGACCGCCTGGGAGACTGGCTGCAGGCTGGCGGGGGCGGGGGGGGGGGGGCCGCGCTGCAGGTGTGCGTCCGAGGACCCGCCCGGCTCTCCACGCCCCCAACCCAGAACGTGGGCCCAGGAAGAGGCCCCGAGTCTGAGCCTGCAGCCAGCAGCGGCCCCTGTGGGAGCACCGGCGAGCTCGGCTTCTGCTACAAAGGCCTCAGCACCAGCCGTCTCCTGCGCGCAGCCTCGGCTTACGTAGCTGCTACGACCCGTCTGCCTTTGAACAGGAGGCTGTGAAAGACGACGTGGGCTGTTGGGCTGGGGGCGGGCGAGCTCTGAAGGAAGGACGCTCTGGGCGTGGTGATGGCCCACATCCCGGCGAGGCTGCACACACAGACAAGCTGGCCCGTCCTCCCCAACGGTGACCCATGACCTGCCATGGTAGCGCGGGGTCGGCCTCCCTCCGGCCAGAGGCCCGTGAGGAATACGCTGAGCCAGGCGGCAGGGAGGAGGAGCCACGCGGAGGCCCCCGTGCGGCAGTCCCCACCCCCACCCGGCCCTCCTCCAAACACCCTAAGGTCATGAGGACACCTGCCTGAGAAAGGCCACACCCTGTGGACCGGACTGGGGCTCCGTGGGAGGGAAGTGCGCCGCGCTGTCACCCCCCACCCCGGGCTCTAGACCAGCCACTTCGGCCATGTGCCTTGCTGTCACTCTGGGTACCCATGGCTCATAGCCATGTGACAGTCAACAGTACGACGACAGCCGCCCAAACGGCCTGTCCCTGGAGCCGGTGCTGGAGGAGCGGCCCCAGCCGGCCCGGCCCCTCGGGGGACCAGCCCGGGACCGACGGTGCAGGAGGAGCGGAGTGGTGCCATGTCAGGTCCAGCCAGAAGCGACATGGGGCAGGTGTGGACCAGAGTGGTGACAAGCCGTGCCCACGGACAGAGCCCGTCCCGCCAGGACCCCAGATGGACGCTAACACGCGTGCAGAACACGTTAATCCCGGGCCATGCACACGGCAGAACCTCCATGCAGGCCCTACCCTCGGGGAGGCCTGAAGCAGGCGGCGTGTGCAGACCGCACCCACCGTCCTCCAGGACCAGGGCATTTGTGGAAAGGAGGGAGCTAGGGCATCGGGGGCCCCAGCTGCAGGACTAGAGCCAAGCCTGGGGCGGGGGCAGGCTGCAACGGCGGCTCCAAGTGAAGCCTGTGGCCAGCCAGCCTGCGCCTTCCCCTTCTCGCATCTCAGACCCCGCGCAGGCCTTCCTCGGGAGCATGTCCTCCGGGTCCGTACCTGCTACTATCTGTTTGATTTCGGCTGCTCGTCCCATTGAGAGGCGCACGGAAGAAAGGCAGAGTAGGAAACCGTGAGAATTGTCTTTTCAGAAAGAAAAAAAATCGAAAGAATCAAACAGGTTTAGGTAACAGAGGATAAGCACTGGCATCCGTGAGCACAGGGAGACAAACCAGACAGGAAACACCACAGGAAGCCCCCGGGGCAGCCCCCGGACCCCAGAAAACCTCCAGGGCCTCCTGGCTCAGGCCCCTGACTGCCCCGGGAGCTCAGCAGGCAGCCCCAAGCCCAGTGCTCTGGGCGGACCCTCTGGGGGGCGCGTCACACACAACGGCCCCAGGGCTGTGCCACCGAGATCCACACGCCCAGACCTGGGGGAGGCTCAGGGAGAAACACCCTTGCATGGCTCACGGGGCCCCTCTGCAGACTCGGTGTCCCGGGAGGTGGGTGGGGGTGGGGAGGGGCTCTAACCAGGGAGCAGGTGTGCAGAGGCCCCTTGGTCACCAGTGAAACGAGGACAGGAGACCACCAGCCAGGAAGGCTGCCACCGGCCACACTACAGAGGTAGCACCCAATGGGGCGAAGCCACGAGGAGAGGGTTGGCCCCAAAACAGACGTGGACGTCCGAAGGAGGATTAGCTGCTGGGGATAAAAGCGCGCGACAAGCTTTTGTTTCCAGATGGTGCTGGGTGTTCGCTACAGATGGGCACACACGTCCCCCTTAGCGACGGGTGACACACAGGGGCCGAGGGGAGGCGGGTGGTACCCGTCCTCCCACCTGGGCCGCCGGGAGGGCAGCTCCTAGCTCTAAGCAGCACCGGGGGGGGGGCACAGACACCCCCAGCCGGGGAGCTGACCAGCTCGCGTGCTGGCAACAGTGGCACGGCCGCCCTGAGAGTGCCACACAGGCGAACGGGGAATCCTGTGACAGGACAACAGAGGCTTTTTTAAGGGAAGAAAGAGAGACACAGACCAGCTGGGGCGGGGGTACCCAGAGGAAGCCGCTGGGGGGCGTTACTTCGGGTCTTTCCTCACGAGGAAGCCAGCAAGGACAGAGCCGGGGGTGGGGGCTCGAACAGCCCTGCCGGGAGGACAGGCACCTGCGCCTCCCCCCGCCCCCAGTCATCGCTGTGTGTCTGGAAGGAAGAGGCAGAGGGCTCTCGGCCCCAGGGAGGACACAGCAAGAAAGCGCAGGCCTCACCCTCCAGCTTGCCGCCGGCCTGGCCCTCCGCGTCCCTCTGCTCCTGCGGCTCTGCCTGCGGCCCGGCCTCGGGGACCAGCTTCACCGGGAGGGCGACCTTCCCACCTGCACACACGGAGAGGCGGGAGGTTTGCAGAGAGCTCAGGAGGAAGCGGTGGGGGGGCCGGTGGGGGCAGAAGGCGGGAGGGGGACGCCGTGGGGAAAAGGCTTCCGAGAACCAGCCTCCGCGTCTCCCTCCCTCCGTCGGCAGTCCGCATCCGCCCTGATGACCGCCAGCCGAGTAACGAAAACACACTTAACGATCTCGCGGGCTCATGGCGGCGACAGCGTTAACCACCTTCGCCAATTAACATGCGAGAGCGGCCCGGCCGCGCCGCGCAGCCCTGCACGGCGCGGTACCTGTCGAGCGTCCCCCGCGAGGGCCCAGACGCACGGACAGCGCGCCACCTGACACTCAGAGGTCCAGCAAGCAACTGCGTGACAGATACCCCGGGAGCTGTCACATCCCCAGACTCCGGGCTTCCCCAGCAGCTGCGGAAGGGGCCGCCGCTCTCACGCGTCCGTGTGCTGACCTGGGCGGCCGAGCGGGAGTGCGCGCAGGAGGAGGCCCGCCCGCCCGGCCTCTCCTGGGCCCCCCACCGGAGGATCCGCTTAGGGAGAGCAGTTTGCCAAGACAAGCGCAGCTGACACCCACCGGGCTCACTCCTGTCCGCCAGCTCGCCCGCAGCGCCTGCAGCCCGGCCCGGCAGCGGGACCCCGCCAGCTCTCTCCGCCGCACCGGCTGCTGGGGCGTCCTGCCCCCCAGGTGGCCCTGCCTGGGGTCCTGGCTGCAGACCCCTGTCGCCTGGCCCCTGGTCCTCCTCCACGGGCTCGATGGCTGGCTGGCCATTTCCTTCTGGAACCTTCCAGGGATCTTCAGGGAGACCCCCTGCTACCTCTAAGACCTGGTCCTGTCTGGGTCTCTCTCTTTCCGAGTATGACAGAGGCAGTGCCATCTGAGCCTTGCCCCCCGGAGCCTGTTCCTCCAGGTGCTTGGACGGACGCTCATTCTCTGCGGGCTCTTCTCGGTCTTCACCTTCGTCCACTACCACCTTGTCGTGCGGGACAGGGGGCTCGTGGCGGTGGGCCTCGCCCACTGGTGCTGCCACACCTGGAGGGAGACAGACATGGGGGGCAAGCCGGTGGGCGGCCCGGCTCTCCTTCCCGGAGCGTGAGCTGAGGCCCAGTGCCCAACCGTAGGACGCAGGCTGGCAGGCGCCGCCCCCCACAGGCCGGACTTGTGCCTGAGCACAGACGCTACCTGTAGAGAATTACAACAGGGGCGGCTGCGAGCCGGCTGGCGGGGGCGGGGCCCCCGTCCGAGTCGCCCGAGTCACAGAAGGAAGGAGGCAGAAAGGACCAGAACTCAGGCAGGCCCCTCCCCCGCCGCCCGCCGCCGCCGCCGCCCACCTCGGCCGGGCCGGTCCAGCTGTGCCGCCTCCTGCTTCTCCTTGGCACCTTCCCTCCGGGGCGCGTCCACGGGGCCCTTAATCTGGGCCTGCTCCATCTCATCTTTCTCAGTGGGCAGCTTCGGCTTATCTCGGCCGTCCGCGGCGGCGTCCCCGACTGGATTCGGGCCTGCGAGCAGAACGCCACTCACTGCGCAGTCCCACGCGGCCCGCCGCCCTCCCTCTCCGCACAGGGACGGGGCGGTTGTCCGCAGATCGTAATCACGTTTCCTAGTCGGATGGCAGAGCCTACGCAGTTATTTTTTTCCTGCTCAATCATTAGCAGCTGAGTAGCACAGAAAACTGTCATTTTTCATGTGCATTCTTAACAAAAATATGTCAAAATGCAATTTACACCTGGCCGGGCGCAGAAGAGCACGGCGCCGCGGAATACCGGCCGTCACCACCAGAGGGCAGCACGAGCCCGCGGTTTGCGGCAGGACGGGCGGCAGCCTGGGGAGGGCGCGTGCCCAGGGTCCCCGCTTCGCTGGGACAACCAGCCTGCCACACCTCAAACCCCCGCTCCAGGCGGGTATGGGGGGTGGCGCTGGGAGGTGCTCGGGGGAGGGAACGCCGCTGGGAACGCCGACGGTGAAGCTGTGAGCCTCTTACTGCCAACAGCGAAGATGGCCACCGGCAGAGCCTGAGAACCACGCCTCCCCTGCCCCCAAGTGCCACGCCTGTCCACACCTGTCCCCACACAGTCCTGTGCAGTAGCTCACCCGCATGGCAATCGGGGGCCCACAGGACCGAAACAGAGCCTGTTAGGAAGCGGTCACCATTAAAAAATTGGCAAATGGGGCAAAAACTAAACAACCTGGGAAAAGAAACTTTAAAAATCCATCATTTTACCCTAGAGGTTGGAAGCACACTCTTGTTCCCCATCACAGGACATGAGCTGCCCAGAGAAGGGCTGACTACCGTCCTCCACGGGCAGCAGGGCTGCTGGCCGGAGGCGAGGCTGGGCGGGGGGGTGTCATGGTGTCCTGTTCGGACAGGACCCTGCTGGTCCCAAAGGAGAGGAAATTATTATGCAGGTCGACTGGACCGGCGAGCCCGGGGCGGTGCCCTCACTCATGTGGGTGCCAGGAGGCAGCTGGGGGACGGCCGCCAGGCGGCTGGCAGGCGGACTCTGGGCTCTGCGGTTGAACCGAGGGGCTGGTAACAGTAAGCGGGCGACCGTCGCTCGAGCAGATGAAAACGCCCTGGTCTCTGTCACACAATTCACCCCTTCCCAGAGGCCCTGTGCTCAAACAGGAGTCACCGTAAATCAAGGCGTCTATCTCGTGGATCACAAAGTCAAGAAAAAGTTTTGCTAGGGGCGCTTGGGTAGCTCCGTCAGTTAAGCGTCTGTCTGCCTGTGGCCCAGGTCATGGTCCCAGGGCCCTGGGATGGAGCCCCGCATCGGGCTCCCTGCTCGGCGGGCGGTCTGCTGCTCCCTCTGCTGCTCCCTCTGCTGCTGCTCCCCTGCTCCTGCTCTCTCTCTGATGAACAAAATCTTTTTTTTTTTAAAGATTCTATTTTTACTTATTTACTTGACAGACAGAGATCACAAGTAGGCAGAGAGGCAGGCAGAGAGAGAGTGAGAAGCCGGCGCCCTGCCGAGCAGAGAGCCCAACGCGGGACTCGATCCCAGGACCCTGGGATCACGACCCGAGCCAAAGGCGGAGGCCCAACCCACTGAGCCACCCAGGCGCCCCACAAAATCTTTAAAAAAGAAAGAAAAGGGGCCAGAAGAGAAAGGAAAAACACAAGAAAAGAAAACAAGCTGCTAAGCCATCACAAGACCAAGTCACCTACGTGTGTGGCCCTGTCTCAGCAGGGACTGAGGCAAGTCCCCCATGAGAGCAGGGGCAGCCTGATGGGCTGGGCTGAGGGGACCCCCGTATGGGCGGCAGGATGGCGGGGACCTGAAGCAGCGAGGAGTCTCCCGCCAGGGCCCTCGGACAGAGCTGCGGGGGCACCCGGCTTCACAGCAAGGCCAAGACACCTTGGGGCTCCCGCACCCCCAGCCACGCCTCCAGCCTCCAGCATCCCGGTCCACAGCAACGACCAGCACACCCTGGGCGGGAACTGGGCTCTCGGCCGCAGACAGCCGGTGATGCCTCCCAGCGTAGCGAACCAAACACAACCCCCAGAACAAGCGACTGAGGAGCCGACCATGCCCAGCAGGCAGCTAGGGCCGCGGACGGGCCCGGAGCAGATGGGCACCTCGCTCACCTTCGGGGTCGTTGCCAGGTCCCAGCAACCACAGATGACCCAGGAAAGACCCAGGATGGTCCCGGGTCCGTGCCTCATTCTGCCAGGCGGTGGGAGACCCTGCCTGGGGCGGGTCTGGCTTTCAGAGGAACCAGGCCGCATGGTGACAAGGGACCTACCCACCCGCCTGATGGAGTGAGAGGCTGGAAGTGCCCTGAGACATGCCGACGGACGGTTCCCCACCAGGCTCTCCTTCCCAGGGCCCAGCGTGGGGATCAAGTCCTCAATTCCAGCTCAGCAGGACAGACCCTGTGCTCTGGGCTGTCTTTGGAATCAGGGATGTGGCGGCAGCGGGGGTCAGGGGGTCACAACCTCTACACCAAGGACGTCTGCGCTCGAGCACCTGGGCTAGAGGTGCCTGCTGTGGGCGGCCGGCATCGAGCGGCCTCTCTCCGGGGACCCAGGGCTCAGTTAAGTCAGCAAGCACCAAAACAAAGGGACTGCTCCTATCACACCTGAGCCCACAGATGGGTCCGTGTCACCCGGAGAAACTCCGATTCAGGAGACACGTGGGACCCCAGGGCCATGCACTTGTAAGGCAAGAGCTGAGAGCCAGGCCCGGCACTTAAGTGACTTTCCTGACCCTCAAGGTGGCCATGAGAGTGGGTCGGGGAGTGCTGACTCCTGAAGCCCGCTCTGCTGGGCGCGGCCGGCACGGGCAGGCTTGACCGCTGTATCCTCGCATCTTTCCAAGCACACAGGAGTCACCATGGCTCCCCAGACCCGAGCGTCCCAGCCAAGGGGCCACGGTGGCCCGAGCCTCACTCTTCACAGTCCCCTAGAGCCGGCAGGGCTCCCCACGGGCAGAGGAGGCGAGCTGCTCCCCGAGGGCCTCCGAGGGCAGGTCGGGGTCACTCAGGGCTGCACATGGGAGACAGCGGCCTCCCTGCCCCAGACGGCAGTGTGGCTGAGCTGGCAAAGTCACCTGGGAGGGCCCGAGTAACACGCAGTGGGGTCGGGTGCCACAGCACAGAGGCCAATGAAAGCCGCTGTCAGCAGAGACTGGGAGGGCTGTGGTGGGACCGTCTGCCCCAGCTGAGGAGAGCAGAGCACGCCGGGCCCCCCGTCCCTCACACACGGCCTGGCATCTGTTGCAGAGTGCACATCCCGCCCGCGTGCAGGAGTGAGTCCTCGGGAGAGCGACTCTCACACAGGCCCGTGGTCACCCTCTGCCACCTGCACCCACAGTCACAGCCAAGCTGCTGCCCCCAGCCTTTAGCCTGCGCCGGCCTGAGCAGAGCCCCCATCCTGGTCTTCTGGTGTTTCTCCCACAGAGCAGAACCCGCACCCCTGCGGGGTGGCCAAGGGGCAGCGCGCGCACCAGGGGCGCTCTGACACCGTGACACAGGCCGAGGACATGGGGTGGGGACGCTGCGGGGAAAGGAGGAGAGGGGACGGGGCTGCATTCAGAGGAGGGAGCCAAGCATGTTCTAGAACCCGACCTGACCCACCAGGCCCTGTGGGGCGCTCTCAGATAGGAGAGAAATGGTCTAATTAGCCTTTTTAACAGAGAATTGCCTCACGGGGCCCAGCAACCTCTTTCCCCCACGCTTGCCGCTGCTCACCACCCCAGCAAGCACGTGTCCCGGGCTCCGCTCTCCAAGAGTGCCAGGCTACGGGTCCCAGTCCCACGTGTCCCCAGCAGGGCAGGATTGCCACCATCTGCCCCGGAGCCGGCTCGGGGCTCTAAGGAAACCTGCACCGTCCTGGCCTCTGCACCACCAGAGAGACCAGTAAAACCCCACTGCAGGCCGACAGGCCGAAGCCTGACAGGCGCGCGCACGGCGCAGGCCCCAGCAGCCCCGGCTCCGCTTCAACGAGGCGACCCGTCAATTACAGGGGACGCCAGGCTGAGAAAAACAGAGAACGTGCTAAAAACAACCGGCGTGTGGCTCTGGGGGCGCGTGTTTTGTTACGGGCTCGCGGAAGCAATGGAAACCAGATGTGGCTGCGGCGGGCTCCAGGTGAGCTCGCGGCCCGGCTCTGCGACAGGCTGCGGCTGCTGGCACGGGCCGCGGACTGCGGGTGCGCAGTGCCGGGGGGACGGGCAGCCCGGAGCCAACCAATGCCAGGAACTCGCGGCCGAGCCGGGGGCAGCAGCACCGAGTCCACCTCAGCCGCAGCCATCCACGAAGCACACAAGGCCAAGACGCCCGGCGGTGAGGGACCCAGCAGGGGCCGGTGCAGGCCACCCGTGTCCCTCTCCAAGGGGACTTCCTCCATCCTAACTGCCAAATCCATGCAACTTGGCGTGGGACACTCAGGTGGCTTCTGACCACTCTGATCTGTTCCTCTGGGGAACCCCGCCATTCCCCGGGGCCCTCTCCGCAGGGACCCCAAAAGGGGAATCTTTCGGCCAGGCCATCCTCCCAAGAAGACAAAAGAGAGCACGGCCTGCTCCTCCGAGCCCCAGGAGAGACTGTGCCCTCCAGGGGAGGCTGTGGGGGGGCATGGACACCAGCTAGGGGCTTTCTAAGCCCGGGGACAGAGACAGCAACAAATCTAAGGGCCACATGCCTTCTGCTGCTGGCAGGCCTGGGCGCCGAGGACCTAGAGCAAGTTCAACTCTTGCCAGGCTTTTGGGACCTTTTGTCGATCACGGTAGGCGGGGAGACCGGGCTCCTACTAGGGCAGGCACTCCTTAGCCATCACCATCAAAAGACACCCAAAACCCACGGGCAAATAGCACTGCTCCCCCCGAGGGGCGTCTCCCAGAAGGGCAGGCCGGGCAGCAGCCGGGCAGAGCACAGTCCGCGGTGGGGCCTATTTGCGGGGGAGGGGGTCAGACGCGCACGGACACACCATGAGTGTGAATGCCTACGACCCAACCGTCCTCAGAGCAGAAGCCCCCAGAATGAAGCACACCCCTCCCCCCAGTACCCGAGTCTGATGCTACTCAGAGCTGCTGTGGGGTGAGGGGTGAGGAAGCCCTCCCAGCTCTGCCTGGGACGGCCAGAGACTCCAGGAAAACTCTCCTCTCCCAACCGACTGAGGACACGATGGAGCCCCTTCTGCAGCCCAGAAAGCCACGCTCAGAAGCCACCCCGCACCCCGACGAGCACGGCCACGGGCGGGCCGCGCAGCGGTATGGCAGCAGGCCTTCTGAGCTAGCCTGCGGGTGCGGAAGGCCGCGTGGGCCACCCCTCCCCACGGGCCGGTGGAACAGCAGCAAGTGGGGGGGCAGCAAACAAAGCCATGGGGCGTCGCTGACCTTGTCCAAGCAAAACCTGGCTTGAACCCTCATCCCCAAACCAGAGCAAGCAAACCTGACAACACGCACACACCTGCTTACCTGTCAGCGCGCCGAGCGGCGGGCCTGAGCTCTCCATCCTGCTGTCCCCCACAGGCAGGCGGCCGTTCCCGGCCCTACTCGACCAGTCACACAGGACCAGGGTGGGCGAGACAGCCGGAAGAACCGCTCGCGCGCTGTGACCCTGAGGCGGCGCTGCGGGGACGCCCCGGAAAGCCGCGGGGCTGGGGCGTGTGCATACCTGGACGTTGCGTACCTGGGAGCCGAGCCGCCTCTGCCTTTACGATGCCCTCGGCCTCTTCAAGCCGGCCGGCCGGGGCGTCCTCGGCCAAGTCCACGGGGGCGTCCTCGCTCACGGACAGGGTAGTGTGTGTGCCGACCACCAGGACGCCCAGGCCAACCCAGAACACCAGCTGGACAAGACAAAGACCCAAGGGTCAAAGGGGTCGGGCGGTCCCTGCAGCTCTGCCCCGCGCAGGGGAGGAAGGGGCAGCAGGGCACAGCACGCAGCACGAGGCCGTGGTCCTACTGGCCTGCCTGACCCCCATGCTGGCCACTAGGAGATGGGGGTCCCTAACTAGCCAACGTGACCGAATCATCAGCCCAACCTGCCAGAGCCAGGCCGGCCCCGGAGGAAGGGGCAGGCTCTCTGCAGCCCCGTGCCCACTGGCCAGGCCTCCTGGAGAGCAGGGGCTGGACCTGCCTGCACTTGTGGCTGCCGAGGCAGGGCTTCCTGATGGCTCCGCCCAGAAGAGGAAGACTCTCAGGGCAGCGCCCTCCCCTAAGGGGGCACTTCGGCCTCCCGCGTCTCAGCCGACAGCTGTGCAGTGGGCCCAGGGTGCAGGCGGTCTGCCTCCCATGTTGTCCTGCGCGGGCCACGCCTGGAGCCACTGGCACAGATGGGGAGGCGGCTCCCCACCCCCTTGAGCAGTGGGTGCCCAGTGGGGCTGCCCAGTGAGTCATGCTGCCCATGCCGCTGCCTGCCGAGGGTCCTCGCCCCTGAGCCCATCCCTCCCATGAGGGAGCCGGGCAGGTCACAAACGCAGCCCTCAGAGATTTGGGAGGACCAAGCCTGCCCTGTGTGACGCCGTCCCCTCCCGCAGTGTCTCCATGAAGACACGCACAAGCTGGCCCGACGGGCGCGGTTATCTCTGCGGCTATTTCTGCCCCGTGCCCGGCCTGCCAGGCTGTCCCCAGGGAGCAGGGATGCCCGGTCCTGTGGAGTCTGCAGGACATCCCCCAGCCAGGCCACCCGCCCCAAGAGCCAGGGAGACCCTGCCGCTCACCCCAGGCAGTCTCAGAGCCAGGATTCAAACCTTTTTCCCCAAGTCATGCTGACTTTAAAATGGACCAGTTAAAAAAGACCAGTGAGGGGGCGCCTGGGTGGCTCAGTGGGTTAAAGCCTCTGCTTTCAGCTCAGGTCATGATCCCAAGGTCTTGGGATCGAGCCCCACGTCGGGCTCTCTGCTCAGCGGGGAGCCTGCTTCCTTCCTCTCTCTGCCTACTTGTGATCTCCGTCAAATAAATAAATAAAATCTTTAAAAAAAAAAAAAAAAAAAGACCAGTGAGCCATCCCTGGGTCAAACCAGCTGGAGAAGGGGTGCTCCTCAGAGGAACAGCTTCCACTCACAGAGGCAGGCGAGGCCAGGGGACAAAGCCTCCAGGACACGTCCATTTCTGCGCAGCCGCTCTGCGAACAATGCGCTGCCCCGGTGCTCACAGAGGCCAAGGACAGGCCATTCTCCCGAGGCCGGCCACACGTCAAGGAGGCGCTGGGGTGCCCCTCCAGGCTGCCACGGCTGGTGCAACAGGGCTACCCAAGGTTCGCAGCAAGATCTGGGAAGCCACGGCGGCATCTGCAGACTCCACACCGCGCAGCATGGGGTCGAGAGCTCCTGACTGTGACCATGCCCCTCCCCACCAGTGTTTTCCTACAAGCTTGAGCACGCTCAGCGTTGGCACAGGACATCTTCCCCAGAAGGGAAGATTCGTGGGGCAGTGATGGTGTCCAGAAGTGACCGAGGTCATTTTAAAAGTTAAAAGAAAAGGACGCTTCAAATCCCCTGCATTTCATACTTCCCAACCAGTAGCAGAAATTACCTTGCTGGGAAGCAACAAGAAAAGTTCTTCTCCTAACTCGGAGCCCACGGCACCAACAGGACAATGACCAGCAGTGGGTAATAGCCCCCGGCATGAGCCAGTCTGCGGCACCAGCGGCCGCTCGGGCAGGAGACCACTCTAGAGCAGCCCGAGGCCGGCACCCACCTGGGGCCACCCCGACAGGACGGGGACACAAAGCAGGAGGCGTCCCGCCCAGCCGGTCACTACACTATTTTCCTACCACATTGCTGAGCAGCCCCATGGGAGACTGCAATGGCAATATTTCACTCAGGACTCGGAATTTTTTCTTTTAACCCTGGGCTTCCTGGGCTAAAAGTAAAAACATCACAGATATCGCAGAATAAAAAAACATTAACTCCTTCAATACTGGAAGACCAAGAGCTTCCTGAAAAAGACCAAGAGCGCGTTAACATAAGGCTGATTTAGAAAGAACGGCCTGCATGGAGCCCGGAAATTCCAGAAAAGAAACCGGCTCTACTAGGTCCCCCACACACCTGCCCTTGCCACCTGCCGGGACCTCCCATGCCCCTCTTGTGGCGTGTGTCCTCCATCTCCAACCCCGCTCCCACACCCGGCGGCAGCCCCCATGCCCCCTTTGCTGAGACCCCACTCGTCTCCCAACACACCGGCTCACCAGGCCGCTCTGGGCTCTGCGGGGCACCCACCAGCTGACCACGGGCCAGAGCATGGCAGCCTGCAGGCCAGGCAGAGCCTCGGGAACCGGTCACTCACCCCGGCTCACCACCCTCATCGCTTCTCTGAAGAAACACCACAGGCCCATGAAACCCCCAGGCAGGGAAGCCAAAGCCACCCCGGCTGGAGAGCAGCCGTGACATTAATGCCACGCAGACTGTCAGCTGGGACACAGCGGGCTACAGTCCCCGGGGCAATGGCTCGTGCAGCGGCCGGGCTGCCATCTCCCAGCAAGCATGGGGTGGAAGCAAGTCAGCCAGAGCCAGGCCAGGGGAGAGGGCACAGGGGCCGTCCAGTCCCCAGGGGCAGCTGTAACAGCTACATGCCGACCACGGCACAGACCTGAGTTCTATGAGGCCCCAGGATCTCCTGACCGGCGAGAGCTCCCAGGGCCCCCACTCCGCCACTGAGGTGTGGGAGGCTGGCTGTGGAATGTGTGCCGAAAGGAATGATCGCGGGTTTTCTGAAGTCCTGAATAAGGGATGCTGCCCCTGGAGAAGGGGCCAAGGTCTGTGCCATCTGGGCTGGCCATGGATAGACGATTGGGAGCTCCCTTGGAGCCTGCCTAGGGTGCAGGGGTGCCATGGCCTCAGGACGGGGGCAGGGGGTCAGCTGGGCCTGGAGCTCAACCTCACATCCGGCATCCCAAGCACAGCCCCTTCTGGGTCTAGCCCCGCATGAGTCCAACAGGACGAGGGCGGCGAGCGTGTCCGGTGTGCCAGCCTTGACTCCACAGTCCCCCAGCAGGGCCACCAGGAGGAGAAACAGTACTCTGAGGGCTTAGCCCGGGCTTGGCAAAACCCGGGGCTTGGCCTGGGGGCCACAAGTACCACGGTGTCCCAGAGAACCCCTCAAGCCATGACGTGCATGTAGCCTCCAGATCTGCTGAGGTTCCCAACTCAAAAACAAAAAAGCACCCACGGGGCGAGGAAGCGCTCACACTCACTTCTTACACGGGAGCCTGTCTGAACACCACACGGGTTCATATGCTGCACCTCTTGATGAAACACACCTGGAGACGGGGGCTCTGGCCGCCATGCAACCACATGCCCCGATTCGGGTCTCCGGGTCAGGGTGCACCCCACCCCCAGCCCCCAGATCCCAGCTGGAAGGCCTTGGGTGCCGGGCCCTGGTGGAGGTTGGATGGCGACTGGTGTGCGGCTCACTGTCTCCAAGTCTCGGTCTCATGTGTTCACCTACAGCCTTCTGAGGGCACAGCACCAGCCTGTGACCTGGGCAGCCCCCGCTCTCTCCTTGGGGCCCCGCCGGCAGCTCCTGCTCCCCCTGCTGGCTTCCAGGCCGTGGCATGTCAATTCCCAACACCTCCATCCAGGTCCAGACTGGAGAGACTGTCCAATTTCTCAGATTCTCAAGGTAAAGAATGAACTCATGATGGCAGAGAAAGTTCCTTTTTGATGCACTAAGGGCACACTGTGTGTCACAGGCTCACTCTACCTACAAGGATGCTTCTCAGCGCATTCCTCCTTTTGAGACTTTCTGCTGCCCAGTCCTGACATGTCCATCACCCACGCACCCTGTCCAGCTCTTCTCTAGGCCTGTGTCCAGTGAGCCCTCAGGCGAGCCGGGGGGAGTGGACCCTGGGCCTGGCACTGGGTCCACATTTTCCACGGGAGCAGCAGCCAGAGCTCTCGGGACAGAAGGGAGAAAGGAGCCAAGCAGGTGCCCTCCAGACCCGAGCTCTGTGTGCACCAAACTCTAGCCACATTGCCCGGTTTGTCCCTTGGAAGATTCATTTCCCTCAAAACAAAAGCTACCTACGTGCAAATAAAACACAGCAGCACATACGAACAGAACGCCACAGTCAGACGGTCCATCCCAAAACTGATGTGTGATACACAAGTCATCTGAGCACTGAGTCGGAGGGACAAACTTTACCATCGTCACAAACGGTTAACGCGATTCAATGTGTTTTTGGATTTCAAAACCAGAGCAAAGGAGGCACAGATGGACGCTCGTCTCAACACAGTTCCACGGGTGTTCACGTGCGCCGTGTGGAGGCGTGTGGGCATGCATGTTCGTTCCCATACACGCAGCCAAGGCCACACCAGGCTCCACAGTTCGACACCAGGGGCTCTCGCCGCGGAGTCAGGAGCTGGCCCCGTGGCCAGATGCGCAGGACACACAGATCAGGAAAGAGAAGCCCTAACAACTGGGAAGGAGGAGGTGGGATAGTCCAGAGGTGCTGTCAGACCGCAAGAAGGTGGGAGGGCAAAGAGCAAATCCGTGAAACGGGCAGGGAAAAGCTGGCAGAAGAGGAGCCTCGGAGATCTCCAAGGTGGTGGTGCGGCCATCTCGCGGTCTGGGTGGTGCAGGCCGGGCCGGACCCCACCCCTGCAACCGCAAGGAAGACTGCAAGGTACGCACTGCAGATTCGCCAGAGTGCAGAGGTAACGACACTGTCCAGATTAATCTACAGCTTCGAAGAATTCTGATGAGACCAAAGACACAAGAAGCTGGACTTCGTTCTACCAAGAGTCAGACCGGCTAAGTCCAACGCGCCTCTGGAAAATGAACATGCAACATATCCAGTAAAAGCGAGGAAGAAGGATCAGAATTCAAATGTTTCCCAAGCCGGGCACCCGGCTGGCTCAGTCAGTAAGTGTGCAACTCCTGATTGCAGGGTCGTGGGTTCTAGCCCTACCCTGGATGTGGGGATTACTAAAAATAAATCAATAAAATTAAAAAAAAAAAAAGTTGGATCCAAATTTTAAAAAGTTTCCAGAGCGATGCATCACAGAGCGGGGGGCGCTACCATGGCCACAGTGGCAAGCAGCACAGACGGCAGCACATTCGAACACAAGTCCCAAACCAGGCCCAAGTCCGCACAAGGTCTAGTACGAGAGCAGTAACACCACCCAGCAGTGACCCAGCCCCAGGGGCTGCCATCTACAGAGACTGCCTGGGTTCTCACCCTGAAATAAAACACAGACGATCAAGGATTTACATGAAAAACAATGAGTCATGAAAGCCCTGGAACTGAAAAAAGAATTTTTAAAAAAATCATATTGAAGAGAAAGGGCCTTTCTAACAATGACTTTTTCCCCCTGAAAGAGTCCGAGGGACTAAAACTCTGGGACTTGACATACAGAAAAACCTTTGCAATCTGAAGGCAGCGGCTGGTTAGTTTCCTCATGCCCTCAGGAGTTTCCCAAACTCACTAAAATCACCCAACTGGCAGACAACCTTGGCCACCCAGACCGCCGGTGAGACCCCGGACCATGGAGGTAAGCACAGAGGCCCCGTGAGGTCGGGCTCCTCCTGACCTGCAGTGCTGAGCAGCGGGCAGGAGAGCAGCAGCCTGGAGCTTGCGACGCTTGGGCAGGAGTCGGGGTTAGAGGGGAGGGGGAGGGGGCTCTTGAGCAGCCGGAACTCGGGCAGCCACCATCCTCATAGAAGGGCACCCACATTCTGCATGCAATTCTCCCTAAGGTACATGGCAACTACGCAGAGAGGTGCCCAGAGCAGCTGCCCGAGACAACAGAAGCTAAGCAGAGAATTTACCAATGTGAGGGCAAGGGCGTCTAGCTGAGACCCTGGAAGGGCTGTGCCCTAGGAGTGAGGCAAACCAGGAACAGCCTCCCCTTAACTGAACACAGGCCTTCTGCCCTCCTCTGTCTGCTGGAAGACAGCATCATCGAGAACCTCTACCATTTCTCAAACACAATGGCCACCAACTACCAAGCATGCCAGAAGACAGGACCAAGTGACAGAAAACCAAGAGGCTGCAAAGGCTCAATAAAAAGAAATGTTGGCAATTTTAAAACAATAATAACATCTCGCCATGTTTAAAACATACATAAAATTAAAATACACAGAAACAATGGCACCACAGGCCAGAGGAGGGTAAATGGAGGCAAAACATCATGGATGCTTGGCTTGTCTGTGAATTGGTAAAACCAGCTCATAGGCAACTCTGATAAACTGAGGACCCGTACTGAACTGCTCTGTACGACCATTAGAACAGAAATGTGCACCTCCAGCTAAAAGACAAATAAAACCTGAATACTTAAAATGTGTGATTTATCCAAGTCAGCAAGAAAGAAACAAACAAAAAAGAACAGATGGGACAAGTAAAAACAGAGTAAGATGGAAGCTTTAATCCCCCCAAAATCAGTAATTTCATTCACTATAAAGAGTCTTAAATACTCCTATTAACAAATTGGATAAAAACAAAACGAAACAAAAGCCAACCATATGCCATTATCTGAGATACACTGTAAGTATAAAGCCATAGAAGATCGTGAAAGAAAAGACCAAAAACTTGTCTGTGTAAATATAAATCCAAAACAAAGCTGGGTTAGTCACACTGTATCAGACAAGACCATTTTAAGGACAGAAGCATTTCAAAGATAAACAGAGACATTTCACAAGAAAAAAGGTCAGTTTAACAAGATGTAAGCGTCCTGAAACTGTATGCTCCTAATAACACAGCTTCAAGATAAAAAGCAAAGACTGACACAGCTAAAAGGAGAAATAAACAAATCCACGATTACAGTCAACTCGTTCTATCTTCCCCATAACTGATAAAGAAGAGTAAACCGCAAGAACACGTGCAATCTGAGCGTCGCAGAGTACAGCTGACCTAACCACACAGCTGCCGCGGCCGCCATCGGCGCAAACATACGCTGGGCAGCAACCAAGTCTCAAACACGTCACAGGAGGAAATTCAGGTTCTTCAGTGTGTGTTCTCCAAGCACAATGGGGTCGCGCTAGAGATAAGTAAAAGAGATTATGAGGAAATCCCCCAGAGTCTGAACACCTGAAGAAGCCACGGGCAAAAGAAGACATAAGGAAAACTGGGAAATGCTGTGATCTGAAGGGGTGGGTCAGTCCTCCGGTCCGTGGTCTGGCACAAACCCATCAAAGCCCGACACGGCTGCGCAGGAGGAGGCCGGCAAGCGGACTCAGCTGCAGATGCTAAGGGCCAGTGACGGAAAGACCCTGGGAAGAAGAATGAAGGTCGGAGGCACCTGCCGCCCACTGTGAAGACTGTAAAGCCACAGCGCTCGGAGCAGGGCCATGAGGACGAGGACAGACTGACAGACCAGCCACAGAGGTGTCCCCAGCACTCCCCCAGGGAAACAGGGGACTGATGACAGCCGTGACCCCGCAGTGCTGGGGAAAGGGGGGTGCGATCAGCTAAGGGCTTCACCCGCCCCCCACCCGACGGAGCCTGCACCTGAACGAGGACAAGAAAACAAACAGCTTCTAGAACATGACCTACAAGGCTATCTGCAGGGCCCTGAGATGGGCGGCACACAAAAGGCACCCAGCCAGAGAGAAAGGGGACAAACGGAACTGCGCTAGCATCAAGAACACCAAGGCCTGGCGGTACAGTCAGCACAGACGCCTGGCTGGGCGTCCGACTCTCGATTTCGGCTCAGGCCATGATCTGATGGTGGTGAGATCAAGCCCCAGGTCAGGCTCCAAGCTCAGCGTGGAGTCTGCTCGAGATTCTCCCTCCCTCCCCCTCTGCCCCTCACCCCTGCACACACTTGCATGTGTGCGCTCTCTAAAATAAATCAATCTTAAAAAAATAAAATAGGGGCGCCTGGGTGGCTCAGTGGGTTAAGCCTCTGCCTTCAGCTCGGGTCGTGATCTCAGGGTCCTGGGATTGAGTCCGCGTGGGGCTCTCTGCTCAGGCAGGAGCCTGCTTCCCCTTCTCTCTCTGCCTGCCTCACTGCCTACTTGTGATCTGTCTCTGTCAAATCAATAAATAAAATCTTTTTTTTTAAATTAAATAAGTAAAAATAAAATAAAATAAGAAAACAAAACGAAGAACACGTGTTGGTGAAAAGTATCACAGAGAGCACGAAGAGGCAGCCAAGAGAGAACACTTGCCATGTGTATTTCTGAAAAAAGATTTAGAAGCTTGAAAAACGTCCACAAATCATTCAGAAGAAGACCATCCGGCTAACAAACAGGGCGGACATGCCAGACGCTCACATGGCTGATGAGCCCATGATGAAATGCTCAACATAGTCGGTCATCTGAGAATTGCAAATTAAGACCCAGATGGAGCCCCTGCTCACCCCTCAGAAGGGCCAGCACGTGCGAGGGGGGCAGCAGGGCTAGTGCGGCTGGAACTCCAACACGAGGCTAGAGGCCCACCTGGGAAGAGCTTGGAAAAATCTCCTGAAACTGGACAGACCCCTAAGCCCCGGATCCAGTACACCTGCCTCGGGGAGTGACCCACATGCCGGACGCACGTCCCGGACGAGCGGCAGAGAGAGCCCCACTGTGTGCTCCGGGGGGCCCACAGCAGGGAGAACGGGCAGGCTGCGGCCCTCGCAGCTGACCTCAGACGTGACACCCGAGTGAGGAAGCAGACACACAGCACGTACCGTGAGACTCTGTCCACGCCCACTCCAAGGACAAGCAGAATTATTCCCAAACGTTAGAAGACAGAAGAGCGGTAACCTTTGGAGGGGAAAGACCATGAGACACCCCGGGGAAGCTTTGGGTGCTGGAATGTTCTAAACCTTTCCCAGACGGTGGCTCCATGGCTGGGCTCACTTGGCATACGGTCCTCACGCTGTATGGGGAATCGGTGCTTTGCTGTATGCTCGCTCTGCGGCACTCCTGAAACCATCACCGGGACATCCCAAAAAGAAAAAGCTCCGTAAGCCCGTAGAAGGTGAGCAAAAGGCATGGATGGCTCCCAGGAAGAGAAATGCAGTAGCTTGTAAACACACGAGAAGACACCTGACACCCCTGCAGACCACTGATGGGGAAAGAGGCCTGGGCTCGGCCACGCAGCGATGGCACTGACCTCTGTACGGGCTCTGGGTAAAAGCCTCCCGCGCCCACGTGCTCCTTCTCTCGGACACGGGGATTCCTTTTCCAGAAAGCTTCCCACAGATACGTTCTCAAACGCATCCCAACACTCACGTACGTGGAGAATCAGCATGGTTTTCTCTATGACACCTGAGCATGGCAGAGGTGACCCCATAGACAGTCCCCTAGTAAGACAGTGGGGGATAAGAACGGGGAGGGGCCTGGAGTGTGTGACACACACGCACGGATAATCCTGTCACCATACACACACGTGCTTGGGGAAAAGCAGTTCAGTCTTCAATGCTCAGGTGAAGTAAGAAGGTCTCATGCACACACGCGCGCGCGCACCCTGGGCCCGTGGGAGCCTCCATACGTGCAGAGGTAGCGGCCTGGCCTGGCCCCGCATCTCCCAGACCTTCCGAACCAAAGGCCTCCTATACTAAGAAGCCTATCTGAGAACATGACCCACACCAGTCCCAGGTGGGGCTGAGCAGCGCTCACCTGGGAGGAAAGGGTGTTCTTGTGGATTTTCTTATAGATCAGAGCCGGGCAGACGAAGCAGATGAGACTTCCCATCATCGCGCCCGTGAGGCCCAGGATCGTCTCCACTGGGAACGAGAAAGACAGGAGGGGGTGAGCGCCAGGGGCTCCAGCAAGGCACCGAGCGCAGGCTTTGGCCCAGCACGGGCAGGCAAGGCAGCCTCTGGGCCTGGACACGCGTGCCTCTGCGAGTCCAGCCTGTGTGCCCACAGGCACGTGACGGGCATCCTGACTGCTACCGCAGGCATCGGGGAGCGATCCGCAGCCCCGTGAGAACCAGAGGCCCCATCCTCCCAGCCAGGAGTCCCAGGCAAGCTCCCTACTCCCTGAACCTCAGTTCCTGGCCCGTGAAATGGGGGCAACGTGGCTCCCTCCCTTGCTTGCGTGAACCTCGGTGAGCCACAGGGAGCAGGTGTCCTCCCACGGGGCCCAGCACAGGGCGAGGCCTACAGCACCGCACTGGCTCCTCTCAGAGCCTCTGGGCACCCAGCAGGGGCTTCTCGGATAGCTCGTCTTAAATCGCCAACCTCCCCACCATGTGCGACAGCGCAAATCTCGCTCAGGCCCTTCCCTGTCCCTTGGTGATGTGTCATCAAACCCAGGAATCAACCAACAGCATCCCCACCAATTCCACCGACCAGGCTGGTGTCCTTGCATGTCAGTCCCACCTGGGGTCACTGGCTCAGGTTTCCACACGCCCACGGCTCCCTGAGGCTACTACAGTGGCCCACGCCTTTCCCAGGGGGCCAAACGAAAGAGTCACAGATGGCTTCTACATGTGTTTTAGGGGACTAGAGAGGGCGGTGTGAGACTCTGGGTATCAGCTGAACACGGAGACTCCAGGCAGCGTCAGCCCTGGGGTCCCTCCATGTCACAGCAAGCGTGGAGGACAGGGGAGAGGACAGAGCAGGCAGGAAACCAGTCCCTGGGACAGACCTCCCACTTACCGTTGGGGATCATGATTCCACCCACCATGGTTCCAAACACGACTGAGAAGGTGAGTGCTTTGAACCGCAGGGGCGGCATGTAGCCTCCAGCAGCAAAGGTCCCATCTTTTTGCTGGGTGAGAGGAAACAGAAACAGAGAGGTTTTGAAACGACTGACTGCCTCTCCGCCCTCTAGCAAGGATGCCCGTAAAGAGCCCTGCCGCTGGCCCAGGTAGGTGTGCGCGGGAGGCCAGCAGGTGACTCCAGACACGGTATGACTTGGCTGAGCGGTGTTCCCGCGAGACCGTGACCCAACAGGTAACCCACCCAAGAAAAGCTCCGGGCCGGGAAGGCCCAGGCTGCTCCTCACGTCAGGCATGGGATGGAACAGAGCACGGGATGGAAGAGAACGGAGAGTTTACAACTTTCTTTCAAAATGTTAGCAGCAGGACCTTCCATTTTCCTTGGAGCAGTGCACAAGCCAGATTAAAAAACGGGACCACCAGAAGCCAGAGGGAGCTCCACAGAGCCAGGCCGATGGTTTCCAGGTAGAGCAGAACCCCCAGGGACACACACTCCCGTGCTCGCCCTCATTTCCAGGTGCTTCAGAGAAGAAGGAAAGAGGATAGGACATGGTGTAACCAAACCCAAAGTTACTCCTCCTCCAAGGCCCATTCACCAGAACCATCTTCTGGTCAGGTAGCTGGAGTGAAGCTTCTAGAGCAGTACTGGGCACACAGGAAGGGCTGACCACGCTTCCTATTCCTGGGCCGGGCAACACCACTCCAGGGGAGCCTCAGAACCTTCCGTAACTAGAATTTCAAATCACCCCATTTCCACAATAGACCTTCAATGCAGGTGGCCTTCTTAGGATGGACTGGGGGGCGTTGCAGCCCAAGTTTCTGATCGACCTTAAGACGACAGCTTGCACTGGGTCCGGCGAGGAGGGGCGTTGGGGCTATAACCCTTGACCCAAGAACTCCTGCCTAGAAGCCTACCCAATACTCCAAAAGGAGAGGGAGAAGGGGAAGCGGTACGTGTGGTCGGGAGAGAGCACCCGTGGGAGGTCAAGCATGAAGGACCCACCGCGGCAGAGCCTCCCTCAAAAGCTGGAAGAGCAAGAGCGCGGCGGCGTCACGGGTTTCCATGGAGACGCCCAGCGAAGGCAGGAGACTCAGCGAAAGGACTCTACAGAGACGCACACAAACGCCACGTCAGCTGTGGGAGGACGGAGGGACGGAGGTGAATTGGACGGAGGTGAATTTTCTTCCCTGATTTAACATCGCTTCTAATGCCACCGTGGACTGTTTCTTAAACGGTAAAAATTATATACAGAAACACAAATGCTGTTCACACACAGAGCACGTGTGCGCATCAAAGGGGGAAAGCTGGAGGCCAGCAGCACACAGTGCGGGGGGAGTGGCATGGGGGAGACAAGAGCTGTCCCCACCGCTGCCCCCGAGGGACCAGGCACTAAATCGTGCCACGCCTGGCGCCCAGGTGTCTGCCCAGCTAACGGGGTCGGGATGGGGAAGGACGGCCAGTCCTTCAGGGGTTGGCTCCGCCACAAGGGGCTGTCTCGATGCACAATCAGCGGGAAGCTGCCTTGAGCGCAGGACAACCCTGTGGACAACGAGCCCAGTTCTAGGTGCTCCAAAGGCGAAGGGGCCCACCTTCCCCAGTGTGGCTACTGGACGCACTGTCTCCTGGAGTTCTGGGACCCCCCACCCACCCACTCCCCACCCCCCACCCTGTGGCCTAAGCAGTTCCACGTGTGTGGCCACCAGGAGTCCCGGCTGACCGCAGACCACACTCAAGGACCTCCACCCAGAGACACAAGACACCGCCATGGAGAAAAACTGCAGGCAGGTCCGTGGGCTCCCAAAGCAGGCGCGGCTTCACCCCACGTCTTGGGGCACGAGTTATACACGGACCTTCTGCTTTTAACTTGGCAACAGCAAGAGAGACTCTTAGCTCCAACCCACACCTCTGAAAACTTCTCATTAAGGACTCAGTGGTTCATGCCAGCCCACGCGGAAGTGAAGAGAACTCAGCCTCTCGCACCGTCTCTGATCCAAACTGTTAAAATGTCCAGTTACATAAACGTAAAAGCAAAGTGCGCTGACCCCAGTGCCCAGATGTCAGTGCCTGCCTGCGAAGCCGGCTCTTCCGCACTCCCAGCCACTCCTCATCCCTCGGGGTTTCCGCTCCATCTGATTCGGGGGCAGCAGCCGGGGGACTGGGGAGTCAGGGCTCCACGCCTCCCATGTGGACAGACCCCTGTGTGCTCTGGCACGGTCTCTTTTCTCCAAAGTTGGTTTTTAAAAAATCCCTAAAGGCGCCTGGGTAGCTCAGTGGGTTAAAGCCTCTGCCTTTGGCTCGGGTCATGGTCTCAGGGTCCTGGGATCGAGCCCCACATCAGGCTCTCTGCTCAGTGGGGAGCCTGCTTCCCCCTCTGCCTCTCTGCCTACTTGTGATCTCTCTATCAAATAAATAAATTTAATTTTTTTAAAAATCCCTATTAGATTTCACGTTGGGGTGCCCGGGTGGCTCAGTTGTTAAGCATCTGCCTTCAACTCAGGTCATGATCCCAAAGTCTTGGGATTGAGCCCCGCATCGGGCTCCTTGCTCAGCGGGAAGCCTGCTTCTCCCTCTCTCACTCCCCCTGCTTGTGTTCCCTCTCTCGTTTTGTCTCTTGACAGATAAATAAATAAAATATTTTAAAAACATTTAAAAAATAAGAGCTTTCACTTCAACCAAAGCTTTTCCATTTTTAAGTAGAAAAAGCTCTCCCTGCCACAGTCCAGAGCTAGAGAACCGGCCAAGCCAACAGAGCAGACACATTGGAGGTCAGCAGGGCAGCCTTTTGCTGGTGGACGGTCACCTAAAGGGCCACGAGAGCCTTACCTGCTGCTCGAAAAGCAGCGTGTTCAAGGCCTGCCGACACGGCAGGATCATCATGGGGAAGCCCACGGCCACGGACATCATGAAGCCCACTCGCATCATCTCCGTCACCAGGTTGGAGGGAAAGTGCATCAGAACGTTGCCTGCGGTGGCCTCGGTGAAGCTCACGTAGCCGAAGCAGCCGACCTACGGGAGGGCGACAGCGGGGGGCACGGTCATGGAGACAGCCCTGAGCAGCGTCCGCAGGACCACACTGCCCGTGGGACCGCCGGCCCACAGCCCGCGTGCCCGCAGCCAGAAGGCCCGGCTGTCGGGAGGCTCCAGTCTGCCTCCCGCGCGGACAGCAGGCCCCAGGGCAGCGAACTACCATGTGGAAAGGAAGCCTCGGGGATCCCGGCAAGCCCCGCAGGACGGCCGATCTTCCCCGGGGGCAACAGCCAAAGCCGGGCACAGCGGGGCAAACCGCGCCCGCCATGGATGGCCACTCCCCGTGGACAATGCTGGGGAAGCTAACGAGGATGCGGGTGCCCTGAGGCTCAGGGCCGCGGGCTACAGTGCGCACTGCTCATAGGACAAACGGCAACATGGGGACCTGAAGAAAAATCTACCCAAATCGAAGGTTATTTTTTCCTCTGCTTTTTTATACGTCCCCGTTTCTGTAAACAGACGTGCCTCTTTCCAGAGCAGATGAGCAAAGGTCTCAGAAAAGGAGTCAGGAGAGACTCCCCGCCAGCGTGATGGGGGCCCCGGCATGGGAGAGATACGGGAGCCGCCCGGGCAGAGCGTGTCTGCATCTGCACGCGGCCCTGGAGCGGAGCCGAGCGGCGGGTTTGCCCCCATGGCCACCGGGTCCCCGACAGGAAAGGAGCAAAGGGCAGGCCTGCAGGGGGGTCGAGAGCCCAGCGGTTTCTGACACAGGAGAGGAGGGGACAGTTGAAGGGGCTCCTACCGTGACGTAGAAGGCGGTGACCACGTTGAGGGAGCAGGCGAATATGGAGCTCATGGTTTTCACCGACGGCTCATCCAGGCTGTCGTAGGTGGGCAGAACCTGACTGTATAAACACCAGCGACTTCACCAAGCAGACTCCAGAGGAAGACACGCCCTCTGCCTGCCCTTGTCCCCAGGTCCCCAGTCCCCCCTGAGTCTCCAGCACCGTCCTTCCAACCACACCCGCTACCATGGTAACTCCAGGCCGCAGCTGAGGTTCAGACGGCGGGGTGGCCCCGAGCACCCCCCTAACGAGCTATCTGCAAACGCTGCAGAAGTGCCACAGAATGAAAGGCCGTCTGTCCCGCAGAAGCAGGACCGTGACCACCGCACGGAGTGCCAGGAGGCAGTGAAGCCACACGTGTTGACAGGGAGGCAGGAAGCAGTGCAGAGCGCCGCCGTCAAAAGAACAGAAAGTTAAACAAACGTAAGCAGGGCCGGGCCACCTGCCCTGGCCTCAGCGCTGCCGATCGGAGCCCACAGGGACAGAGAGGCAGCTTCCATCCCACGCACAGCCCAGGGCCAGCAGCTCAGTGCTGCTGGGCGGTGGAAGGGACACGGCCGTCGGGCCCTCTGCAAACAGCGGACAGTCCCTGTGGGGAGCAGTGGGGAGGGCCGGGAAAAGGGGTGGGCAGTGGAGGTCTATGTGCAACCTGGGAAGGGAAGCCGGACTCGGGGGTGTCCAAACAGAAGGCGGCCACTCTCCCGCCCATGTGCTGTGGCATCCCAGCGGCTGAGGGACAGAGCGCCTCGGCCCGCGGTCATGCATGCGGAATGCCAGCTGGCAGGGATGCGCCAGGTGCAGAAATGGTTGCCGATAAATGGACAAGCACAGCACTGAGTGGAGCCAAACCCCAAAACCACCTTCCAGAAAGTAAGAGGAGACGTCACTGCAAAGCAAATAGGAACTGGTGGGAAGAACCGGCCAACAGGAGCTCGGGCACACTGTCCCGCTGGGGCACCCACAGTGGGCAGGGGTCGCCCTGGAAAGCTGCCCTCCCCTCGGCCCAGCTGGAGGGCGCCAGGGAGCACCGGCCCGTGCAGCCCAAGTGGATGGCAGAGGGCCCGCAGGGGACACAGCACCAACATCTCAGTGCCAGACAGCTCCTCGGGCTGAGCCAGGGTCCATGCCAGCGAGTGACAACTCGGGGAAGCAGAGTCAGACCCCAGGACGGGGACTTCCCCCGACCCCTGGCCCCCAGCACACACCAGGAGCCGCAGGTACCGTGGGGAGTGGGTCGTGCCCCGTGCTGGCGCATGAACAAGTGCAGAAAGGCCCTTAATCCTGCCCGTGCCCCTGGAACCGGCTACTGGGAGCCACAGACGTCCATGGCGAACCACCTCGGCACTCCACGGAGTGTACCCAGACCGCCCACCTTGCCGAGCAGCCTCCAAGACTTGCTTTACCCTAGTCAGACAGAGCTTCCCACATGCAGCCCCAACGCACAAACCCGGGCCTTCGTGTGGACCAGGCCCCTCTGTGCTCGGCACTCCCCAGGCTGCTTCTCTGGGCCACAGGGCCTCGTGGTTCTGGACTTGTTTACTAGGAAGTAAGACCAGACAGGGCCAGACGGCAAGAGCAAAGCAGCAGCCTGGCCCACCCCCGCAGAAAGGACACCAGTCATGCAGGCAGTCACCCGGCAGGCCCGTCTCTCACGCACGCTCGTGCAGAGATGCAGCGGGAGGGGAGCGCTTGGTCTCCACCCTTGGCAAATGCCTATGTTTTTAAGGGGAGGTCCCCAAACCAGTCATTCCAAGCTCTGTGGACACCCTTGCCAGCCGCTCACTGGGGAGAACATGGGCGCTCTCCGTAGGGCCAGTGCTCCCTTCGAGCAGGACAACCTTCCAGAACGTACCATCTGACCTAGGACCCACACCCAACAGAGGTGGGCTGGCTACCCCGCAGCTGCCACCGAAAAGCCCAACCACTGGCTTCTGCTCTAAAAAGCAAACTCACAGACAAAAAAGGACAACTGGTAACAAGGTACGTCGTGAGAGAGTGGAACTTCTGTCACCAAGTATAATGGGGACATTAAACTGCAAGAGCAGAGCGTGTTCTGGCGGAACCAAGCTGCCAAGAGAGACAGTAAGTGGGAAATGACGATTTGGATCTCGCATGTGGGTGTAAACACAGCAGCACGAGCAAATTTTATCTGCCACATTAGTTTACGATTGGCACAATACAAGCCCACTGGAGCTACGGGGGGGCTGGCAGAAGCGGCCCCCCCGGGTACCGATGGTCTTTTCCCGTCCGTGCCGGATTTACGCCTCTCTTTTGAGCTGGTTACCGCTCCGACCGGGCATGAATCACTGGCTCTTGTCGCTCGGTGGCGAAGGTAGCGCTGCTGGAATTATGGAAATAGCCTGATCTGCATTCCCAGAGCCCTGCGTGCCAGAGAGAACGCACACTCGCGCACGCGCACACGCCTCCGGAGGCGCCCGGCGGCACTCGGAAGTCAATGTTTGTGCAATTTCCTTTTAAATATTCTCACACGAACAGCTCAGTTCTGGCAAAATGCTTGGGACTGTGTGAATCAGATGGTTTGGGGCTGTTCTGTGTTCCCCACAGCCAACTCTTCTGGGGGGAGGGGGCGAACTGGGCACTGTCCCCAGTCCTGCCGGCAGCACATCTCGGGAATAAAGTCGAGTTCTCTCTGGATAAAAATACACACAGCTCTCTCCTCAGCTTGGAGGGGGAACAAGTCACAACAGAACAAGGCATCACGCGATGGTGGCCCGCGTCGCCAATTCCAGACAAGAGAGGACGCCCGTCTCCCCGCGACCCCCCGCCCCGAGGGACACCCCCACGCCTTGGGCCCCCGGACAGCAGACGGTACTTACGACTGGCAGGCGAAGGACATGCCGAAGATGGGGATACAGCGGAAGACACCCTCCCAGCGCACGTAGCTGACACGCTGCAGCCACTGACCACCGAACAGGCCGTGCTTGAGGGAGGACAGCACGATCTGCACGGGGAGGAGAAAGGCGAGCTCAGGGCAGATCGGCACACGAGGTGCGAATCGGGACCCCCGCACCGGGCCGAGTACCGTGGCCCGGGACCACATTACCGGAAGATGGCCGCACGCTCCCCTGTGGCAAGACCTGGTGCCGCTGGATGGGGTCCCGCACCCGTGGTTTCCCGCCCTGCGCGTGCCATGAGCTGGACGCACACAGCCAGCGGGGCTTCTGAGGCAGCTGCCCGTGCCCTGAACACACATGGCAGACAGGGTACAGTGAGGCCCACCTGCCACCCCCACCTCAGTTGCCTCAGGGGACAGGACGGTCCCTGCAAACTGGGCAGGCCCTTCCCAGGCCCATCTGGACACTTTGTTCTTCTTTAAGTAGGGTCTGCGCCCAACGTGGGGCTCGAACTCACGACCCTGAGATCACGAGCTGCACGCTCCACTGACTGAGGCGCCCCCCCCCCCATTTTAAAAGACAAACCCCCAGAGAACAGGGCTTTCTGGAGAACAGCGTGACCTTAAATGGGCAGCCTTCCCAAGGAAGCTGCTGGGGTGCTGGGAAGGACTCAGCTTTCTTAGGAAAACCCATGGCAAAGGTTTTCACGCTGTTCACTCAGGAGTGGGCCCGTCCGAACCTCACCATGACGGTCAGGCCAGGCTCAGGCCCCATGGGCTCCCACTCAGAGGCCTCCAGGCACGCGGTAGGACACAAGTGTTCCAAGCATGCAGTCCACGCCGGCCACCCAGACCCGGGTGGCAAAGAATGTTCATCTAGAAAACCACCTGTCCCCTTGTGACCAGGCGTCCGCGCCACAAGTCCCGCTCACTGACTGCTCATGAAATGTCTCTCCGTCAAACGAGGAGCCTCTGTACCTCGCTTCCTGGGGCATCGGCTGCACCCCTGCCTGGGCACCATCGCTGCCCTGCCGGCCCCCATCCGGGCGGCCCCCGTGCCCTACCAGGGCTCACGGGCACGACTCCACCACCTGTCCAGCTTTCGAGCACCTGCCCGTCCCCGCCGGGAGCACTCACCACAAGCATGAACACAGTATAGAACATGAGAGCCATGGCGCTGAAGGACTGGATGGAGGCCATCATGTTCCTCTGCAGGCTGAGTGGAAGCACGATGCACAGGGACACCGCGAAGAGCAGGAACATGCGGAAGGTGCCGACCACCTGCAGGGAGCCGAGCAGGCCGGGCAGGCGCCACCCCAGTGGCTCCCCAGAGCTTCCAACCCGCGGGCCTGGAACTAACCCCAGAGCGTCCAGAAGCTTCTCCTAACCTACCGCAGGCAGCTAGCCTCACCCTGCCCCTGCCCCCCACCCCCGGGGGCTGAGAGGCACCCCTACAGGGGTGTCGCCAACAGCTGCCACATGAGCAGCCACGAGCACACCAAGGTCCCGGGCCCCTAAGCGTGTTCTCACCTGAAACCCAAAGAGCCGAGCAAAGAAGTTGGACCCCAAGTCACCGATCACAACGTAGAAGGCCATGCAGGTCCCCAGCATCAGCCCGATCATGCTGCAGAGACAGAGGTCGGGCTGAAGGGCCGGACCGGGCCGGACCCTGCCATCTCGCCTCCCACCCCCCACCGAGACCCGTCCCCACCATGCGCTGGCCCATGATCGCCGAGGCTGGCCGGAGGAAGAGGCAGTGTCCCGCAAACGCCTGCCTGCGGGCCTGGGCTGGGACCAGGGCACTTCACTCTTCCCAGCGAACGGACGCTGGACGACTACGCTTTTCTCGGCACGGCAGGCTGTGTGCCTCCCTCCAGGGCTGCGAACGCGCCCTGATGCTCCACGAGTGAAAAGAACCATCAGGTGCCTTCAGAGGCCGCTCCCCTGAGTCCATGATTCCCTAACTTACAAGCCTAAAAGGGCAATTTCCCAGCAACTTTCTCATCTCACGAAAATCTACTCCAAGGGGGAAAGATAGGACCGTTCCACGCGGCCTCGAGGCGACCGCGTGTGCGGCGGGGGGCACACGGGGTTCGGGAGCAGGGCTGAGTTCCCCGAGTTCCCCATTCTCACATCTTCCCTAGCAGGACTTACATGGGACTTCGGCCCCAAACACAAATTTCTTTACGGTGACGACAAATGCCGCTTTCAACTACTGAGTCAGTGACACCCGAGAAAAGTACCACCGTGTAAAGCAGTCCACGTCTGAGACGCGCGGCTCAGGGTGTGATGGCCCTCAGGCTTCTCCTCAGGGCGGGTGAAGGAGGGCAGAGGGGGACAGAGGAGGACAGAGGTGGCCAAGTGCCAGCACATACCTGGTCTCCACCACCATCTTCCCCGCCTTCCCGTAGGCGTGCAGCGCTAGCGCAGAGAGAGAGAAGCGGGGTCAGCCGGACAGCACGGACGCCGCACCCGCACACCCCCGCGGGAAGCCTTGAGGGGCGCCTGGACAAAAACCTGCTGGTCTGGCATTTCAGGGGTGTAGGGAGGGCATTTTAAGATTCCGGTCCCATGCTTTTCTCGGGTCTACTCAACTAACGGAAACCACAGAGAAAAGAGTAAAAAGGAGAGAAAGACACAGGCAGTTGGTTTTTTTCACTAGAAATAACGAAGGAGACCTGTCCCCGTGAGCGGTGGTCCCCTGCATGTAGCTGTGGGGGAGGGGTGCCCGTGACCGAGGCCGCGCGTGCGCCCAGGTCGGGGGAAGCCGGGAAGCCAGGGAGGCTGGGAAAGCCCGGGCGGGGGGGGGGGGGGGGGCGCCCAGTGCCCACAGGTCTCCACGCTTCTGCAGCCCACGCCAGAGGGACCTGGCTAAGGGCTTTAGGTTCACCCACTGTGATTCCAGAGGGAAACTCAGAGAATCCTTTCTAGTGGGGCACTTTGGGGGGCGAAGGGACAAGAGGTCTCAGGCCTGCCCCCCTCGAGGTAGACGATCAAGGAGCCGGGCTTGAGAACAGCGTGTCCTGCAGCAGACAAGAGATGCCTGTCCCTCCGCCCTGACAGCAGAACTGCCCTGAGCAGCTGAGAGACGAAGGCAAGGCCCCTCCCAGGACCGACCGTGGCCCCAGGAAACCCACGTCCCCCCACCCTCTAGGAAGTTCCCATCTCCCAGGAGCGGCCAGAAAGGGGTGTGCGCGACAGCCCAGCCCAGCTTCCCTTTCCGAGGAGACTCAGAGAGCAGGAAACATGTAGCCAGTTGGTGCCTGTCACTTCCCAGTGACTTAGGAGAGGTACAGTGTCGCCAAGTGCGGGGAGCTTGGCACATCACACACGGGACAGAGGCCATGAACAGGCAGAAGGCCGGTAAGCAGCACCAGCCTCGAGGGTCACGCTGGCCTTCCCGGCTTGTCTGACTCGTCACAGACGCGAGGCCAAGCTGAGCCCTTCACAGACTAAGGACCCCAAGGCCTGCTGTCACCCAAGGACCCCAAGGCCTGCTGCTCTGAGGCTCCCAAGGACAGTCGTTGGGCAGCGCGCCTCCGGACGGGACACATAACTCAGTGACCCGCAGAGGTGGCCCCGCTCCCCGCCGATCCTTCTCTGCGAGGAAGCTGAACAGCTACAGCGCATTCCAAATGCTCGGAGCAGCTGCCAGAAAACATTCCAGAACACACCTGCACCCTGGAGAACGGGGAACCGGAAAATACTTCAGCAAGTCAGGGGACCAAGGTGGGAGGTGGCTCTCTTCACCCAGATACCCAGAAGGACAACCTAACGGGGCCGTCCCAGTTTCGGGCCTCCCCACTCAGCCCTTTCCTAACCTGGGCTCCCCCACTCCCCACTTCCAGGGCGGATCCCTCAGCAACCTCCAACCCTGAGTCCCAAACAGAATGCCCAGCAGGCTCCGCCCTTAGCCTCCCACCTGGCATGGCACTGGAAGGGCTGACCGGGCCCGGGACTGTCCCTCAGGGGAGGAACCACAGTGACGGGCCAGGCCCAGCGGGCCGGCAGGTATCTGAGGAGGGGTTCTGCCTCTCCCTGGGACAGACACTCTGCAGCCAGCAGGCCGGGCCATGGGGACGAGGAGGAGGCGTGGCCTCGTCCCAGTCTAACCAGTGCTCTCGTGCAGAGTGAGGACGGCTGTCAGGAGGGCTCTCCCAGTCTTTCCCTGGGAGGCCGGGCAGAAGCTTCTCCTCCTGGGGCCACTGCCCGGCCTGCGGCTCCGAGGCTGCAGAGGACACAGGACTGACGCTGAGACTTCCTGGTTCAGTGCAGGACCCTGACCCCACTCCCGCTCTCTCCACCAGCTTTCCAAAGCCTCCTCCTCACGGACGCCAGCATCAGCAGGGCAGAGAAGGTGGTTCACACACCAAACTGTGCTGTTCGAGACAGAAGGGTGACCTCAAGCCAGCCGCCCCCGGAGCCAGGCCTTGGACTACGTGATTCCCCAGTGCCACCTGAACAGAGGCCAGTAGAACGTCTGTTGGGTCAACGAGGGTGTAGAGACCCCCGGGCACCAGAAACATTGGCTCCACTGCCCTCACGCTCGAGCCACATATCCATGCATGTGGGTCACACGTCCAAAGGCCAGCAGGGAGAAAACTGGCCAGACAGGCCCTCAGCAGGCCCCACCCCAGGCCCAGGAGTGGGCGGCAGGCTGACCAGGACCCCAAGACCCCAAACACAGTGCCAGAAGCATCTAGTGCACACAACGGGGAGCCCAGAGGCCACACTGAGCACAGCGGGGTCCGGGCCTTGGGGAGGCCCTGGGGGGCTGAGACCCCAGGGGGAGGCTGACTGGCTGGCATGCCCATCTTCTGAAGATGAGATTTAGAAAAGTCTCCATGAGGGCGCCCAGGTGGCTCAGTCAGTGAAGCGTCTGCCTTCGGCTCGGGTCATGATCTCAGGGTCCTGGGATTGAGTCCCGCGTCGGGCTCCCTGCTCAGTGGGGAGCCTGCTTCCCCCTCTGCTCCTCCCCCTGCTCGTGCTCTCTCTCTCAAATAAATAAATAAGTAAATAAAGTCTTTTTAATAAAAAGTCTACACGAAGCAGAATGTACACGGGGAGAAACAGGTGAGACGTGGGTGACGTTCGCCGGCCCGGCCCAAGAGCAGCCTCCAGACCACCACAAACACACGGAAGTTCCATCGACAGACACGGCCCCAGCGCCGTGATCCCCGCCGGGCAGGGAGCCTTCCCCAGCAGACACCACACACCGCTCACAGGGGAAGGGGCGACACTGGGGTCACCGCCAGGGGCTCACCAAATTGAGGCACGGTGGCAGTCTCACTGGAGTCTGCGCGAGGCAGACATCCTCCATGAAACCGCCCCCCACGCACAACCCACCCCTGCTGTGGAGCCCACTTGTGGGAACTGCGTCAGCACTCCGGCCCCTGCTCTGTCTCCAGGTCTGGCCGAAGGCCACACAGCCACATGCCTGCCCCCAACCCTCCTGGCGCCCACGGATCCAGCAGACGATGCGTCTTAGGGCTGGGGGCTCTGCCAACAGAGGCTGCTTGTCCCGGAACCCGGGGCCGCAGGTCTCAGGCCGCCCTCTCCAACTGTGCTGCGAGCTCGCACGGTTTCTCGGCCAGGAGAAGGCAGAGCGTGAGAAGAAAAGGCCCTTTCAGTAAGCCTGCCCCGGCGTGGTGGGGCCGCCGACCCACAGGGCCCGAGAGGATCTCGTCTCTTCCTGTCCGCGACTCCCGTGCAAGTGGCGGGGCCTCTGTTTCTGAGTGACTGTGCGGGGCCCCAGGCTGGACCCAGGGCGTCTGACGCTGCCCACAGGGCCACAGGGCCACGGGGTCTGTGGGAGCTCACGCAACAGAGCCACCTTGCTCGGGACCAAAGGCACAACTGAGGACCGCCGGTGGACCGGGATCTTCTTTGCTTCTAGCAGCTGGGCTCCAGTCATGGCGAGCAGCCCTGGGCAGCCACATTCGAGGGTGTCCGTCTGCTTTCCTGGCAGACGCTCTCATCCAGCCAAACCGGTTTGCCTTCTCAGGGACTTTCGAAGAATACTCAGACCGCTGTCCAAAGCCACCAGTCTCCGCGGTCTAGTGTCACCTGTTCTCCGTCAGGGCCCAGCCAAGGCCTTCGTGGGACGTCTGCTCCGGGAACCCCGCCAAATGGTGACCCTCAGAGGGGAGAAAAAGATCACCCCAAAGGTCACAGCCCTGCAGGTGGAGGAAGGGGCACCCCGGAGCACACGTCATCCAGAGCTGCGGGAGGTGCTCTCCGCGGGATCCGTTCACCTGTAACTGCGACCTCCTCGTGTGGCTCCGGCACCGAGAGCCTGACAGCACCGTTCTCACGGGCAAGGAGGGAAGGAGGCGCGCCTTCAGCTCTGAGCTCAGAACAGACGCTAGGACCGCGGTGCCGACGCAAAGCAGACGAGCTAGGAGGAAACCAGAGGTGGCACCGCCACAGCCCACGGGCGCGGACCCTGCACGTGTTTTTATTCTATTTGGCCCCTTGGAGCGCGCACGCCACTTCCCCTCGCCACCGCCTCTCCACTCTGAGAGCACAAGCAGACCAGCGCCCCGGCCACACACTGGCAGCAGGGCGGGAGCGGGGTTTCCATCCGGGGCCCAGGGCTTCTCCCCAGCTCCTGAGAGCCCCCAGGCCAGATCTCGCCAGCACAGTACCCTGAGGGTGGCGGGAAAGCCGGGCCCCTGCCCCCCGAGCCGAGTGCCCCAGGAAACAGGGCAAACCAAGAGGAAGCAGAAAGCACAGCCTCCTCGCCCTTGGCCGAAGTCAAAGGAAAAAGACCCACAGGAAATGAAATTACAACCAAGAGTATCAGAAAACAGCAGCGCTAGAGAGACAGGGGACTGGATCCCGGCCATCGGCCTGGGCTGGACGGTCATCTCCTCCACGACATTCAGAGTGGCAACGCACCACAGCCCCCAGCAGGCGGCCCCGGAGGAAGGCTTCGAGTGCTCAGGAGAGGCAGACAAGGAGCACGTGCACGGGGGGCGGGGGGCCGCTGGTCCCGCCTGAACGTCGAAGGGGAGGCTCTCTACAGGTGCTTGCATCAACGGGAAACAGGAGAGCAAGCCTCACCTCCTCAGGGAAGCCTGTTGCCTCTAGTAACGGTTTTTAAAAAACAGCATTAAATTTTAAAATAAGTGGGGCGCCTGGGTGGCTCAGTGGGTTAAGCCTCTGCCTTCGGCTCAGGTCATGATCTCAGGGTCCTGGGATCGAGCCCCGCATCGGGCTCTCTGCTCAGCGGGGAGCTGCTTCCCCCCCCCACCCTCCCTGCCTGCCTCTCTGCCTACTTGTGATCTCTGTCTGTCAAACAAATAAACAAAATCTTTAAAAAAAACACTTTAAATAAGGAAGAACCTGCTGTTCAAGGAGCTCTTTAAGCATGAAGTGGAAGGAAAGTAAGTAAAAAAAGGAGCAAGGCCCCAACAGATCGCGAATGCTGCACTCCCCAGGCAAGGGCTCGGGGATGCCCAGCCGCTGCGCCCAGCGCCGCCGTCCTCACCCAGGCCCGCGTACGTTCTCCGTTTGCTCAGGCTGGCGGATTTCACCAGGAACATGCAGGACTGGTGCGTCATCCAAGAGCAGAAAACCAACAGCAGGGCCCCCAGGACGATGCCACACTGGAGGGGAGGGAGACAAAGCGACAAAATAAAGTGACCCGGTGCTGCCGCCTCACCCGCGTGGCTCCCGAGCACCCTCTCGGCCTCCCTCGACCCTCGCCAATGCCAGGCCCCAGCTCTGCCTCACTCCTCTGCCTACAGGTGACAATTCCCAGCACTGAAAGGGACCAATTCCCTGCATGTGGTGACCACGTGCTTTGTGACCCTGAAAGAGTGCCAGGGACGCCACTGCCTCCGTGGCCCCGCCGAGTCTTACCGCATAGCTAGCTACGCGCTGCCAACCACCGGCCGCCCCGGCTCCCTGCGAGCGCCCCCCACTATGCCGCCTTCCAGCCCCCCGGGCCAGCAGCTAGCAGCGGTGAACACACGCTGGCGGGAAGAGATGGAAAATGGCGCTGACGCCTTTCTTAGGACTTGAACAGACGCCATCCGACCCAGCCATGGCACTCCCCGCCATCACCCGGCAGAAACGGACGCGTGTTCACGCACTTGCCTGCCCGTGTTTAGAGGGGTTTCTCCGTGATCTAAAAGCCGAAGAGACAAGTGCCCGACCGGCCTCTACTGGAGGTGAGCGTACACCCTGCCCTCGAGAAACAGCCCCGGGAAACGCACACAGAGCGTCCGAGCCCGTGTGCAGGTGCTCACGGAGCCGCAGGCGGGTGACGCCGTGGGTGCCGAGCGGAGGCAGAGGACTGAAACACGGCACAGCCGCAGCAGGGACGCCCGGGGACACGAGAAGGCACGCAGGAGTCCGCTTCCACGACACAGTGCCCTGCTCTGCGGCGCTGCCGGTGGGATGGTGGGCCCGGCGGGAGGGGCGAGGGGGTGCCGGCTGCGCTCTGTTCCTTAGTTTGGGAGTTAGTGCCGCGTGTTCGTTCACTTTTTAAAAAATCACCCAGAACACACCCAAGAGCACACTTCTCTGTATACGTGTCACCCTTCAGTGAAATGTTAATTCTTTTCGGAAAGTACCCAAGTTACTAAAATCAAACAAACAGAAAGAACCCCAAAACCGTGACATGGCTGTCGGACACCAACAACACACATCCTCAAACTGCCCCTGGCCTGCCGCGGTGCCCCAGCCGAGGCCTTCCTGGGGAGCAGGTGCTGCGCCCACACGAGAGGCTGCCCCCGCTCGGCCAGGCCCTCAGCACGGGGGGACCCCCTGCGGTCCTGTGCTCGCACGCAGGCCTCCACCACGAAGCGTGAGCCCTTCCTGGGCACGATAGTCTGGCCGGGGCCTCGTGCCCACCAGGCGCCAGACACAGATCTGCACACGGCTGAGTCACCCGGGAAAGCGCGCTCCCCAGGAGCCCCAGCAGAGTCGTGCTGCCACGGCACCTTACAGACCTTACAGACCCACGTGGAGGAGGGCAGCCTTGGACCCACAGAGGCCCAAACACACACGGGCCCCAGGACGCAGCTCCGGGCCGGGCAAGTCTCAGCGCAGCCTGGGGCACACAGTCCTTCCAGAAAGGCCCGCGAGTGGCCAGGCACGCTGGGACTCAGCGTGAGGTCACAGGTGCTGCCCCTGGGGTTCTAGAGCGGCCAGAGTCCCTGTCCTCCTGCCCACCGTCTGCCAGCACGGTCATCAGCAACTGGCCTGGAGCCCGGAAGCAATTCAGGCTGGGAGGCTGAGGTGGGGGATTAATAATCTCCAGATTTAAAAAAAAATTTGGTGCTATTTTTACGCTGAAGATGCTAAGTACGAAAATGCAAAGCGTTTAGCCTAAAATTAAACGATGGGCGCCCACGTTATTTCCACTTCTCTCCCTGCCTGGCTTCATCCCCAGACGGGTCCTCGCCCGCAGCCACCTGCCGCCCGCCCGCCCCTCCCCTGGCTGGCAGCCCCTCCCCCACAACCCGCCAGCCCCCTCCAGGGCGCAGGGGGCGCAGCAACCCCAGCCCAGGCACACGTGAGGCCCAGGAGCTCGTTTTTAGGGAAGAAGTTGCCCAAGTTGATGAGCTCACCAGCCTCCCTCGGGTGAGGCACCAAAGACCCGTTCACTTGTGGATTCCACGCCAGCCGAGCGGGTGCAGCCCCACGGACGCGGCTCTTCTCCACGCGGCCTTACTGTCGCGTGGCACCGATTTCAAAGTGGATTTCAGATGCCTCTCGGCGGTGCGGACACTTACGTACGGCCCAGCTCCGTGGGCGGACTCTGGGGTCACCTCGGCGCCCATGCCCCCGCCCAGTCCCAAGGCCCGCAGGGCTGCAGCCGTGCGCCCCGCAAGCAAGCAAGCGCTGGGGTCAGAGTTC